TTTTGTTGCTAATTGTGATAAAGAGCAATTCTAATTTATAAAATCACCAATCTAAGATACAATCAACATCTTTAGCAAACATTAATAATATTTGGAAATAGTTTTTCAAAACTTGATTGCAAAGTGCACTTATATTTTCTACAATTTTCAACATTATGAAGTCTTTGCCAATTAGGACTTATAATGCCAAATAAACAAAATTCTACTCTATTTATAGATCATCAAACAAAAAATAAGATACTCTATAAGAATGTTGCAATTAGATCAAAATGCACTAAAGTTCTCAAATAGATGGCCATTTAAATTCCAAAGTCTCTATAGATTCGATGCCTTCAGACTAAATAAAGAGAATGGATAAATCCATATTGAGACTTTTAGGTAAATCATTTCTGATATCAAATTAAAGGTTGCACAATATATTAAATAGGATATCTACAAAATGGACGAGACAAATCATTTCTATTAGATGGCACTAAACAAGACTATTATACACTAATAAATTGTTGGATCCAAAAAGTGTAAAATTAAGATTATTATTGCTTTGATGGCTAATGGAGATGGATTAGATAAATGATTATAACTTAAATTTTATTATTGTCATAATATTGTAGCATGGATGACAAGACTACTTTTTTGAAAAGACTTGGATTGTAAACTAAAAGGCCTTATTCTTATTGAATAATGATTTATTACATAGAACAAAAAATCTCTAATTAACAAATATTGATTTTTTTTTTCCCAAGTATTATTTCCAAGATTTATAATAGATATTAAAATTACTCTTGCATTCAAAAGAAGATATTGGCACTTCTAGTTCTAAGATGTTATTATCAAAAATCAACAAGGAAATTCAAACATTTATAAGATTGACCAATTAACAAAAATAAATTAGTATTAAGCTAGATGAAATAATATCTTAAAGGATATTATTAAAAACTACTTTTAATATATTTAATACTTTTAAAGAATAATAATTAGTTTCTATTTATCAAGCAAAAGAAGAAATCAAATGATATCTAATGGATGTTATTTACCATATTCTAGTTGCAAATGCTATGTCTATTCAAGTCTTATTTAATTTAATGAAACAAGATGCATAGATGTAGTTTTTTTGATTAAGATCTACTTGCTATTATTCTATTAGGAGAAAATACAAAAGATGCATTGAGAGAAGATCAAAATGTGGGACCAACTTTATCCCACATATAGAAGTTATATGGCCATTAAACTATTATTTTTTTACTTGCATCTACAAAATATAGACATTTTATGATCTATAAGATTTTGCAACAACTACAAGAAATTCAGACTATAAGATATTATCAAACAATAATAGATAGATGGATTGTATAATTACTTTTATCTATTAATTATTAAATTGAATGAAAAAAATAACTATTAGATATTATGGATTTTTAATTATGTACTTTAAACATATTTGATTTATAAAGTATGGATTAATTATTAGAGATTAATACTTTTTGGAAGATAAATTTTTAGAATGATAACTTGAAGTAAAAAAAAAGTAGATAAAAAAATAGCTTATTTATAAAATATCAAAGATTTTTTGGATAATTATTAGATCTATAATGAATCATATGACTAGGTTAAGTTTTAAAGAGGTTTTGTACTTCTAATAAGGTGTCACAGAAAGATTTTAAAACTTGGATATATAGTCTACTAGCTTTGTGGTTCTAAGAAATCTTAGATATGAAATTTTTAGTTTTGCAAATATATTATTTTTATTCTAACCTTAATAGAAAACTTTACTTTTTTAATTTTTATTTATTTTTATTTTTCTCATTTATACATGAACATCTTGATTTAGTATGTCTTTAATATAGATTATATATCTAAAATTAGAATTCAATAATAAATTAAAATTAGTAAATAAGATTTTTGTATTTAAATATAAATATATGTTGATAAATTATAGACCATTTTTATACATAATTTTTTTATTATATAAAAAAATAATAATATAAGATGATTATAATCTTTGGAATTAAATTTTAATATTAATCTGAAATTGATAGTAGTAAATTATATTGAAGAACCTTTATTTTTATTATCTGTATAAGATTTAGTTATGATAAAAAAACGAAATCAAGTTCAATATAATTTGAAATTAAGGTCACATTTTTAAAATCATTAAAAATAGTATAGAATAAAATTACAAGCTTATTTTAAGTATAAATTATCTTAATAATATTAGTTGATATTTTAGATGTTAAAAGTTATTAAAATATATTAAAATTCATAGATAAAAAAACTCATCTAATAAATAAGATTATATCTAAAAAAATAAGATTTAAATATAAATAATCATAAAATATAGAATTAAGAAAAAAATTATAAAGTTTGATGAAATGCCAATCTCTTATTTTAAGTATAATTTAAAAGTTAAAATTATTACAATTTTTTAAAAATTATAAAAAAAATTAATAAATTTTAATTGATAAAACATATCTTTTTTATTCTATATCAAGGCTTTCTATTTAACTAAGTAAAGTTTTAATCTATGTTAAAATAGATATGGAATAACATGTAATTTAATATTTATTAAATAAATATTTAAACAAAAGACTATATTATAGACTAGATATGGCCATTTTGGATATAATATCATATTTCTTAGACTCAAAAATACTCTATTTTATTTTCAAATTTTAATAAATAATATAAAATTTATAAAATTTAAAACTTATTTTTTTTAATTTTATGGGAAAAGAATTATTTATTCAAATAATATAAAAGAATATAACCAATCTTTATATCTTGTGTTACGAGAACTCAAAGTAATAGGATTATATGCTAAGATAGAAGAATATGTATCTCATACAACTTAAGAAGTTTTTTGGATTACATTATTTTCAATGATACTTTGAAATTAGATTTGAAAAAATAAAAACTATTATGAATTAGATAACTACAGAAAATTTACATAATAGATGATTTTTTTGAAAATTTATTATACACTATCAAATATTAAATAAGAATATTTTATAAAATGCTACTCTATTTACAAAAGTGAATTGCAAAACAAAAAATAAAGTAGATTCAAGGTGAAAAGCAACATTTAAAGGTTTATAAACAATCCTATTACAGTTCTTACTTTATACAATTTGTTTAAAAAAAATTAATTTCTTTCTACAAATAAATGCAAAAGATTTTGCATTATATGCAATTTATTACAAATGAAGTTAGTTAAAAGACTTTATTCTATTTCTTTTTATTTAATTTTAAAAAAAACTGAATTTAATTAGTAAATCTATAAAAAATAATTTTCTTGTATCATATATTTATTATTAAAAGAAAAATATTATTCAAAATATGCTTCTAATTTAGCTACATTTTAATTGATCATAAGAGCCTTGAGTATTTTATTTTAACATGTGCCTTAATCTATAACTAAAATCCTCTTAATATATTTCTTTTCAAATACGTAATTAATATTATACATTGTTTTAAAAAAAAATACAAGGCTTGTAAAATTCCATGTCAAAACATTCTTTTCTTGCGCAACATATGATCAAAATAAAAATACCTTTTTGAAACTAGAATAATTGCACCTAGATAGTATAATGTCCATAACTCCAATTGATAATACATTTTTTCATAAAGCCTATTCAAACATGCTAATAGATTCTCTTATTTTCTATGTTAAAAATAGTCATTTTGATAAATTAATAAATTTGATTTCAAAGACAATCTTCTCTACAAAAAAAAAATTGATACATTTTAAAAGGTTAAGTACAAGTATGTGACTTTGAGACACAACATGACTTTCCAACAACAAGACATTTTTAAATACATCAACATTTGTCCATCAAAAATTTATCCATCAAAATGTTTTATTGGCACACATCAAAAAATCAACATTTATTGGCACACATCAAATTTTTCCATCAAAAATTTATCCATCAAATTGACGTTTGTCCATCAAAAATTTATGGTTTGTTAAATTTGAATGTCCAATATTTAAATTCATTAAACAACCCCTTTTCTTGGTGTTGTAATGCAATATCAATATCTCTTGAAATGATAAACAGTGCATCTTGTTTAAAAACTTTAAAAACGAAATCCCAACCTCATATCAGGTTAAATTTTTATTTATTTATTTAAGTATTTATCAATCATTATTTAATAAATATCACAAGACATGTTTAATTTTATTCTTGATATTTTTAAAATTAACATATTTATTTTTCTATAATCAAATATCTATTATGTTTAAAATTTTAATAACATATTATTTTATGATAGATATTTACAAGTCAATCAGGCTTCTTAAGATTAAAAAAGATATAGTTACAAATTTATTAAAATGTTCATGTGGTTAGAATATAGTCTTGTGTTGTATTGTAAAAATTAAAAGCCAATAATGATTTTGAGTGGAAAATTTACAATAATATTTTGGCCTTAGACATATTATATGATATATATATATATATATATATATATACACACACTTCTTCTTTCCCTCATTTATATCTATATTTTCACATACATTTAAAATGACCAACAAATGCAAATATGTTTGCACAATTATTCTTCATTTTACTATTTGATTTTGACATATTGCCCACTCCACATTTAGCATTCAACAAATACCCACAATTTTTTTTTTTTTATTTTCCCCTTTTCTAATATCACATATTCATACACTTCTCTATCCACGTATATGTTTTTTTTCAGCAACATTGAAGAGGGACTAGTTCTATACAATGCTCTACAAAAGAAATGGTTACCAATGTAAACTTATCCTTGAGGACCCCAGATTTGCAGCCCATAATTTCACATTCCTGTCCCAAAATCCACAAATAAATAAATAAATAAATAAATAAACAAGCAGGCAACTATATTCATGTCCCACCCAAGGTTTGGCGTGTGACTGTGAAAAGCACTTTAAAAGCAACGAAGTAAAAAAGCAAAAGTAGCGCACCTCCCAAGCACTCGCCATTGGCTGCCCGTGCCAAAGTCACGGCAGAGAGAAGACATTTTTAGGGCTTGATGCACGTGAATTTTTTTCTCTGAACCCAACAAAACCCAACAATTGTGAGGGTTCAGATTTCGTGGAAATTCAAGGTTTGCGCTTCCCCGATGGATCCCTCGACTTGTGGTGAAGAAAGTGGATCATAGAAGTCAGAGTTGAAGTCATCGCAATTATTTTTTATTTTTTTTTTATTTTTTTTTGTTTAAAACAGTTTGTTGCGTGTCGTAGTGGACGATACGAGATTCAACGACGGCTGTTGTGGTTCTCGAATGGAGGATTCAGATAAAATCTGAGCCCTTGCTCGTTTTTTCGTCGGAGATGATCGACACAGTAGACGATGATGCTGATGGGACAAGTCTTCTCTCCCTCCATGCTTTTGAGACAACTCGTAGGGCGGTGGACTTTTATTTCATATATTTGCAATGATGTGAGAAGATCACATGATTCCACACTATGTTCGTTACAATCCAGGCCGCCTGACAATCGGAGTACGTCCGTTGGGTGCATTCACATTGCCGCAGAGAGAGAGGTGTGCTGGGTGGTTGTACTGGAGGTCACGGTCCAACAGGCGAGTTTTTAACAGGTTACTGTCGTCTGTTTGTTTTTCTTTTTGAATAAAATTAAAAATTAATGATATTGTCTGATTTTTACAAAAGAATTTCCTCTCGTACTTGCGGGCTTTTTTGTGTTCGAATTGGGCTCTATGCTAGTAACCAGATTGTGCAAGTGCGTGCTACTTTTTGGATGTGTCATAGTGAGAGCATTTGTGGTGTTTTTCGACCTTCTGGCAACTTGAATGTGGGTTTCTTGGGCTTGTTTTTTTCTTTATCTTCTTTTTCTTCTTCTTCTTCTTGTCCCTGTTACCTGTATTTGAGTTTTCTTCGTCGTCTTCCGATTCTTCTATAATTTTCTTTTAAATGTAATTATCCATCTTGTTGTTTTTTTGCCCTGCGAGAACACCAGCCGCGGGCAAGTTCAGTTGCGTCATCTCAGTCAAATTTATTCGTGTCAACAAATTTGAAATTTGTGAAGGTGATGGACTAGATGGTTCAAGGTGCATTGGTGTTGATGCAGAACTTGGAAGTCTTCAAGACTACGTCAGACACCCAAAGTTCCAAATAGTTAGAGAACTTTTGGAAGTTGCACCCAATTCACTACATCCATTTGCAATCTCTGGGGGGAGTAATGAGTTCATTGCAGCGCAACCCATCCTGTTTGGACTTTCTTTCAACACAAGAGAGAAGAGAAAAAGAAAAGAGAAGAAAATTAAAGCACCGTTCGTCGAAACCCTCTAGATCACCATCTTGTGCAGAATGGAAATGCTCACATGCCACTGAAAAACTACAACTGAAATGACTTCATTCCATTGAACGCACTTGAACAGTCAACTCAGTATAGATCACACCAAAGTGTTGGAGATGAATGGTTAAATAACCAGAATCGTTGTTATATTCATTTTACTGTATCAGAAACTATGCTATCTGCAAGGCTGATGACAGGAGAAGACAGTCTCCTTTTTTATGTATGAACAACTATGAACATTCTGCACAGCGCAATGAAATTGAACGACTAAGCGGCGGAGAGGTTCTTCTGTGTGGGAATACTGCCTTCATAAGGGCAAGATGGGCAGCCACTACGGGTGATGAGGCGTGGCCCAACTGGAGGTCCTCCCTTCTTAGGACGAATGTCCTGCACCACCATCGATTGATATCACAAAACTAACCAGAGAGAGCACAGATTTGAACCGGAAAAACCTCATAAAACAATAAAAATGAGTCTTGCTCCAACTATTCGCAAATAAGCGCAGCAGTAGTTCACACCTGGTCGAAGATGTTGACAGGAATTGCGAGAGTGGCGCATGCGTTGGGCACGTCCACAATTCCGGAGATTCGACCCTCGCATGGACAGCAAGATAGCAGCAAATATACCTGTAATCGAACAGATGTGAGTGCACATTATATCTGTAGCCTGAATGCGCATCTCCATCGAAATCTGTAAAGGAAGAAACGGTATCAAGGCTCAAATCGATTCGAATCTTTTGAATTCAAATGGCGCCAACTTACCTGTTCTTTGGAGTAGCCGAACTTGGAGAGGTAGTCGATGCAGTTCAGCACAGCACGTTTGTACGCAATGCTAGCGTCGAGGTAATGCTGCTTGCCGTCCTCGTCGACGCTCAATCCCTCGAACACCAGCCACTCGGAGAATCGTGGCTCGAGTGGACCGATCTCGAAGATGGGATTCACGTGAAGCTTTGTTGGGCCCATGGGGGTCAAGTATTGCTCCATTCCACCCCGGATGATCGAGCACCTGAAATGCGTCCGTCATAGCCGGATCATTGATGCAAATGGCAACGGAAGGGATCCAGAAACATTTATGACGGTGAATGTGATAAATGAGGAGAGCTTGAGAATATCGGCTTACTTGAGCTCAAGGAATCCGCTCATCTCGATGGCGCCGCAGAAGGAGACTTCGCCATCACCCTGCGAGAAGTGCATGTCTCCCATGCTGAGATTGGCGCCCTCAATGAAGACGGGGAAGTAGACCCTGCAACCCCTGCTCAAGTTCTTGATGTCGCAATTTCCTCCGTTCTCCCTGCCAGGAATGGTTCGACATGCCTCCGCTGCGATTCTTTTCCAGTCCTTGCTCCCTTTCTCGACCTTGCCCAGGAGAGCCCCTTGGGTTTGGGGAAGAAGGGCAAGGGGGCGCGTGTGCAAGTGCTTTCCCAAAGTAAGAGCGTTTTCACCGTCATCAACGAGTGCCTTCTCACGTTTGTTCCAGATGTCGAGCAGCTCTTTAGATGGGGCAGTGCCAATGAGACCAGGGTGAATGAGGCCGGGAAAACGCACACCTGCAATCAACCAGAAGGATTGGTTTTGAACAACTTTTCGTCTTAAACACAAGCCAAACCCGTGAAAGAATGTAATTGCAATTGGCGATAGGATGAGTACCTGGGATGTGACGAGAAGACGCCCAGATACCCTCGAAGTCCCAGATAGCCTTGCAAGCATTTGGGAAGTGGTCAGTGAGGAATCCTCCACCGTTCTCACGATCGAAAATTCCAGTGAAGCCCCATTCATCACCAGGAAGAGGGCCGAGGTTAAGAATCTCGACAACGAGCAGATCTCCTGGCATCGCAGGTTTGCCTTCGGTGTCGTTCACGCGAATTGGCCCACTCAGGTTATGAACCTGGTGATTCGAAACGAAATTTTAGTATTCGAAGTTCCATGTAATCTAAAATTGTACAACAATTTTAGAAACTTTTTGTTAAGATTTGAAAGAGTTCTATGGCGATGGAGCATTGTAAAATCTCTGCTAGGGGATTGAACAGGCGAGAGAATTTGGTTTGGATACCAAGGTGAGGTCGATGTTCTTCATATCCTCGGCGCTGTCATTGTTGAGGATCTGCCTGCCGGTCCAGTCGACGGTCTCCACTCGGAAGACCTCGCCTTCTTCTACCTCGCCCACGGCGGGGATATCAGGGTGCCATCTGTTGTGGAGGGGGACGGTCTGCTCCCATGGCCGCTTGTTGGGGTTCACGGTCACAATTGCCCTTGGAGTCTTGATCGGCGCCATTCTTGAGAAGGAGACTTACAAAAATTCTCGGCAAATGCTTCCTGCACAATTACAACGAAAATGTTACTCATGAGTTCACGATTCCCTGCATCGGGTGGATTGTATCCCTCTAACCTTAAAAAACACAAATCTAAAGGTGGACTAATGCGCTATCGATGACGAAGCTAATGATACGATCTTTGAGAAGATGAGAAAATAATGTAAACTTGGCTATGGTCTGTGCTCTAAGCCATGAATTCTGAAGCGCACTTGAGCAACTGTCTCAAGCTTGGTAAGAGAGATCCCCAGGTCAGCGAAATTCACCGTGAATGAATCGACCAGAGGAGAGGCCCAGCAAGACCGTGCAAAGGAGCCCGATGTTCTCACAGCGATAAGATACGAAATCAAGATGAGATGCTGCGAGAGAATGGCCTGCCGAAGCATGAGTTCCAAGCATGGTATTTATACATGCAAAGGATTATCTTCCACGATGCAGCGCAGATTAGACTAAGCTGATTACTCGCGAGAATTCCTTCAAGGAGTACTAACTGGAAACCGCAACTGCCGCTTCCGCCGATAAAACAGGATGTAACTGCTCTTCGAAGGCGTTCGTGACCAACTCACTTTCGCGGCGCTAGAACCCACAAAACAGGTACTAAATATTTCCATCCATTCAGTGACGTATCTACTTGGCTCTTTCAAACAAGAATAAGGAAACACCCCAGGTGTCGGTTCTTCCCACCCTTGACAAAATGGAGTTCTCGGACGCGTACACAAACGTACCTTGAAACTCAGGACAAACAGCTTGCAACAGAGGTTTCCAAGACCAGTACAGTCGTCTAGGTGGCGCTGTCAGCTGAGTTGCGAATCTTCTCAATTGTTGAAACACGAACATTCGTCGTCTGCAACGAACCCAGATTTTGGAGAGCATGAACTTCGAAGGATGCGAGCACTGCGGCAGGGAAAGCGTCGCCTCAGCCAGGCGCTGGAATGCTTTTCTAAGAAGGAAATTTTTAGATGCCGAGAATCTGGAGGGGAAAAGCCTGGATTTCAAAATGCGAAACCAAAAGCAGGATGCTCGACCCTATTCCTCACAGAGCGAGCTGCTCAGTGGAAAATTCAGGAATTTTCACAGTGAATGATCGATCGCAGCAGGCCAGTTCGTTTGCTGAGGTTATTCCGAATTACATCGATACAGCTTTTGGTCAGTTCCTTTGTACTGCATCCTCTGTTTTTTGTTCTATTTCTACCATGTTCGGATCAGCATCCCATACCGCTGTCAAATTAGCTTCATCGGTGCCTCTACATGCAGAGATTTCTGCGGTCTACATTCCAGTTCTTGTGCTCGCATCCACACCATCGTCTCTCGCTTCGAAATCGTTTTCGGCTACCAAACAACAGACCATTCGCCGCATCTGAACCTCGCACAACCATCATCTCCATCACCACCTCACAATTGGCATGGCTCTACGAGATGGGGTTCGAACCACAATTGGCATGGCTCTACGAGATGGGGTTCGAACCACAATTGGCATGGCTCTACGAGATGGGGTTCGAACCACAATTGGCATGGCTCTACGAGATGGGGTTCGAACCACAATTGGCATGGCTCTACGAGATGGGGTTCGAACCACAATTGGCATGGCTCTACGAGATGGGGTTCGAACCATCCATGTCACAGCCCAAGGCTCAGCAAGACGCCGAAGCGCCAATCCGCTGCTAACGAACTCCAATCCTGCTTGTAGCGACAAATGGACATAGGCTAACCAAAGAGGCTCCATAGGTTAAAAATCAGTTTTGTAATTTGTATTACAGTACTGGAATTGTTACGAAAACAAGATGTGTTGTGGAATCATTCTTGATAATGAAATGTGAACAAAGCCAAGGGGAGGGCATTCTACTGTCTTACTTAAGAGCCGGATAAGTCACAACTTTTGGCATGTATAATATGGAATATTCAACACTCTTTTTCCAAAAGTGGGACATAATTCTCTACTAAAACAAGACCTAACATATCCCTAAAAGCTAGAAACTTATCTTAAGGGAGAGGTTTTGTCAAGATGATTGCTGCCATCTTCTGAGTGGGACAATACTCCAAATCAATCTGTCCTTTTTCAACACATTGCTTAAAAAATGATGTTTTGTATCCCAATGCTTTGTATGACCATGGTGTACTAGATTCTTAGCAATAGCAATGACATTTTGATTATCCTCATAAATGAGAATCCTTTTTGGCTCAAGAATGTCATAATCCCTAAATACTTAATGAAGCGACAAAGTGCCTTTTGCTGCAACAGCCAAAGTTGCATACTTTACCTCTGTTGATGAAATAGAAATTAAAGATTGTTTCTTGCTTGACCAAGTGATAGTTGTCTCACCCAATATAAATACATAACCACATACTGAATGGTGTGTCTCCACATAACCTGCTCCATCTGCATCACTGCAACCTATTAGTTACAAATTTACTTCTTTTCTTCCATACTCCAATACCAAATATTTTATTCTTTGCAAGTAAGATTTTTTTTTTATTATTATTATTCTTTCCTAATAGAAAACATGTAGGTGTGCTATGTATTGAGCAAATTGTTGACAAGCAAATGCAATGTCATACCTTATACAATTTAGAAGATACAATAATAAATTTAAAGCTTTTTTATAAAGTTTTACACCTTTTGCATCTGAAAGATCATCATTTTCATGGTTAGTGACATGACTTCATACTATTGGTGTAGCAATTGCCTTTGCATCTTTTATCTCAAATTCTTCCATCTTTTGATAAATGTACTTAGTTTGGCTCAAATTTATTGTACCATTTTTCTTATCTTGAGAAAAATCAATGTGAAGAAAATCACTAAGTTCACCAAGGTCTTTCAACTTATAATACTCTTCCCATTCATCCTTGCATTTCACAAGGATCTCAAAGTTCTTGCCACTAATAAGTATGTCATTAACATAGATAATTAGTGTAAGAACTAATCCCTCAATGTATATTGTGTACAAATAAGGATCTGCTTTTGAGCACTCCTAACAAAGTTTCAATAAAGATTTATCCAAACTTTTGTTCCATCTACATCAAAATTGCTTCAAATCATATAAAGCCTTTGGCAATGGCAACACCTTGCCTTTATGTTCCAGTGGAACTTTCAAACCTTTCAAAATCTTTATATAAAAGCCCTTTTTTTTACATTTGACATTTAAATAAGCTAAAACAATACCAAGTTGCAATATATTCTAATTAATTGTAGTGGCAATTTGTAACAAATATGCAAATTATTGCAAGTCAAGCAATTGATACAAAAGTTTCTTGGTAATCAAGACCCTTCACTTGAATAAAGTTTTTTGCAATCAATTATACTTTAAAATGTTCAATGGAGCCATTACTAGTAAGTTTTTTCTTAAAAATCCATTTTGAATCTATAGCCTTCCTACCATTGGTTAAAAATGAAAATTTCCATATACCATGATCTTTCAAAGAAACAAGTTTTTTCTTTATAGCATGACTCCATTCTTTACAAAAAGATGAATTAATAGCTTGCTCAATAGTCTCTAGTTGTATATATTCATCAATATGAATCACATCCACTATTTCAATTGGCAAGTTATAATCTCTTCAAATAAAGTTATCATCTTTTTTTCAAGGTGTGTGATGCATCTTACTACCACTTATAATATTTTCTAAATCAATGCCACCTAAATAAAAACATCTTGGTGGTAGAACTTGAGTGGATGCTTCCACTTCTAGTTGATGGAATTCTACTACTTTTGTTGGTATAGGATTTCATTCATCTTCAACTATTTTTCCATCTAATCCATCACGCACATGTAATCTTAAGACTTGAGGTTGGAATATTTCTATTTCATTTAGATGTTGAAAATCTAGAATATCTAGATTATTTCTATGATCCATATCTTCTTCAATTTTTTCTTCATGGATCAATGGCTCACCAAGTAATTCATTCTTGTTATCAAAAAAAATCACATCTCAACCAAAGATCATCTTCTTCTCTTCGTATAGAAGTTTTTAATATCTTTTTGCTATTTCTAAATATCTAACAAAAATATCCTTCTTTGCTTTTGCAATGAGCTTTTGATGGTTTTCCTTTAGTATGTGATACCAAGTACAAAAACCAAAGCAATAAGCATTTTAAAGAGAAGGTTTTTCATTGTAAAAAAACTTTGTATGGGATCTTGCGACTAAGTATTGAAAGTGGAAGGCAATTGCGAGTCCAAGTTACAAATTTTGTTGCAAATATCCAATATTAATGATCCAACTTGGTATTGTCTGGAATTATTTATATTCCTTTAAAAATAGTTCACATCATATACCCAGTCATGGCGACAATTTCATATGTATATGTAAAAGTGATTATGTGCTCATGTCATGGATTTAAACATGTAAACCAATAATTAATTATATGATTAAATAAAAGTAGGTAAAAGTAAGTTAATTCCATAATATCATCTATTGAAGCTTCTTAGAAGCTTCATAAACAGTGCTTTGACTTCATAAGTGTCTATAATTGACTTTTTAGGTTAAAAACGTAGTCAACAAGTTAGCCATGTGCTACATATGTTGGTAGCTTGAAGAGCAAGTTAACTATGTGGCACACACATAGAAAACTTGCCTTGTAAACTAAAGCATGTATCTTGCAAAGTCAACACATATTAGAGGTCCTATAGAACATTGCTTCATAAGTCTTAGTTAGATAGTATATATAGAGGTAAGAGTGAAGCCCTCTTCACTCTTGTCAATTTCTTTTTTGCATCTAGTCTAGATTTAAGAGTTTCTAGTTTCCTTATCTTTTGGCAATAGCCATTCCATTTTCTTTTTAATAAATATACCTCTTTGTTTCTATTTTTTATACTTATTTATTTACTATCATCAAGTTCTTGTTCCTGACAATTGAATGCTTTCAATTTTGAAGTAAGAACTAAGCTTACTATTTAAGAATTCAATGCCTTGATCAATAAGAAAGTTTTTGCCATTCTTCTAGTTCTTCTTAATGCCTCTACTTACCAAGTCTTATAAGCAACATGTACTTAGTCTTTAGTTTGAAGAAATACAAGGCTATAATAGCTAAAATATTCATCAATCTACATAGCTAACTATTTGGCACCACCAAAGCTAATTGTATTGGAATAACCAAGGTCAAATATTATTACATCTAAAATACCATTGGAATGCTTATACTTATGTGAAAAAGGTTGTGTATGAGCCTTACCAACAATGCATGATTTACATGTAGGTATTTTATCCTTCTTCACATTGATTTTTAATCCTTCAACACAATTCATCCGCTCTGCTTTACATATTGTATGCATTGAAGTATGGGCTAATTCTTGATGTCATTCAATTAGTGTATGATCTAAAATAGATGAATTAGAAATTATAGCAACTTCTTCAATTTTACAAGGCATAAGTTAAGCTTTACAAACTAGCATGCCTTATGTGAAAAAGTCATCTGAAGATAGAATCTAATTGATTTTATTGACATTTAAGTTATATTTGCAACCTTTCTTATATAAAGTTGCAGATGATAATAAAATATCATGTATTCTAAGAACTTAGTGGACATCCTTCGTAACTACAAGAATATGTTTTTTTATAGGGTCTAAAATTATGAGATGCATCTCACCTAAGCCTTGTAATTTGCTAATGCCACCATCATAATCTTAAAGTTGGATAGTCTCATTTTTATCAAAATTGAGAAGCTTATTCCTATCATCTTTGATGTATACATCTATTATATTATTAATACATACATAATGTTGTAATTGAAACAACAATGCAATCATTATTTTTGAATTAAATGATGTCTTTCAAGCTGAAAGAATAATATCAATTCCAACATCAATATATTGATTTCTAAGATCAAAAATCTCTCCAAGAAAAATCTCCATAGATTTTCCATCCACATATCAAAGATTATACAATTTCTTCAATAAAAATATCTGAATAATAACTTTTGAGGGCTTATGGATCTTAGCCAATATGTCCCACATCTCCTTTGCAATATTACATTTGTGTACACAAGTTAATTGCAAAGACTTAAAATTGAGTGCAATCAATGATTGTGCTTCTACTTTGCTTGATTTCCATTTTAATTTTTCATCAATATCCTTAGGACATTTAATGTCCCATCTACATGCATGTAGAGCTTGTGAATGTGTATCAAGTATTTTATAACAAATGTCCATGTGCCATATTTTTTCTCATCTAATCGATCAATGCAATGATCCATTGAAGATGCCATTGTTACATACAATTAATGCAATAGCAACAAATAACCATAAAGGGACAATTAACAAATGGTTTATAAAATACAATATTTAGAGAGTAGAAGTACCAAGTTATATTAGAACAAAAGAAAGCTTATTTTCACTATTAGCAACAAATAGAATTTAATAAAATAAAATTCAGCATCAATAGAATTAAACTCTAGCTCTTGCTGCTCGAGAAGGGCTTCAGTAGCTCCTTGGCTTCAATAGCATTGTAGCAACAATGGAGCTCCAATAGGAAGCAGATCATCTAAGTTTTCATCTACGAAAACATCCATTTTCATCTAGACTTTATTTAATGATATTCATCCATGACACTTTTCATCTAGCTTTGATACCATGTTATGAAAATGGGATGTGTTATGAAAGCAGGATGAAAAAATTAAAATAATGTGTGTAGTAAAGAAATACAAGCAGCATTAAAATACTGTTATAAGACAAAATGATTGGAGTTAGCAGTTTAGAAAATTGAGCATGTTTTCACAACCCCTCTAAAAATCAGGATTGTCATTGTCGCCCACCATTCATCGTCAAGCTGGCGTTGCATAAAAATCCCAAGCATTTTCTCTTGGGTAATAGGTAATGTTCTGATCGGTCGATAAACCGATCGGATGAGGATGGATAAGCGCTATAGCTGTGCCGACTGACAATTCTCATGATCATTTAGAGCACTGGAACTGCTATTCGGTGCTCAGGAACTGGCTGATGCTGCAGTTGGAACGCAACTTGCGATCGACCAGTTCAGTTAGTTACCCATAACAAACGTTCAATTCGATTCAAGTGTGACTGACGACGTGTGGAGGATGATTACCTGCTCTGAGGAATTTGGATTCGGTTGAAATCCTGCTTCGTGGGTTCGGTCCTAGATTTCAGGATGAAGTGGGACGTCCTGGAATTGAAAGGGTGACTGCGTCGAATCTCGCCTGACTTTTAGATTCCAATTCCAGTGAACGAACGGATCTCTATCACGAGGAGGGCATCCATCCGCAAATTTGCCAGACCAGGCGGTCACTCCACGGAACCAAATTTAGCTTGTTCATTGATGCACTTATTTTGGATACTTCCATTGATACACGATGACTACGAGCTGGGGTTTTGTTCAGTCATGATTCCTTGCGAATTGCACGACTCCTGATTGGAAGATCTCTATATTCTCAGAGAATCGTGTATCATTTTTTGTTCTCATGCGTGGGAATCTGTAACCGACCAGTGTTGCGGGTGCTGTGACTATCGAAATTGGAAATACAAGCTCCCTGTTGGTAATTGTTGGGCGTAGAGCATAAAACATACATACTGAGAACAAGCAGCATATGCATGTACATGCTGGAAACATATCTGATGCTGAAGTAATAATCCCAGAAGGTATGAAACATGCTGAATTATTTTACGTATTTTACAAAACTGAAATACAAAATATCTCACAGAATCTCACCAACACTTAAATCATGAATCCAGTTTGAGGTATCAATCTACAGGATGGCTCGGAATAATGCAGCACACTATTGACAATATGTACGATATGACGTCAAGATTAAACCGCAGCTAATCTCTGGGTTCCAGTATGACATCCACACCCACTGTCTGATCCCCACGGAGAACCTCCAAGTTCACCTGTCATCACATAACATGACACACAACATATTAGTTGTGCCTTATGTACTACGCCGGAAGAATTCACTAGAACTTATACAATCGATTCGAATTTATCACTTGAACAACTAGAAGGAAGGATGGTGGTTGCAGGAAGTTTATTCAATTTTTTATTATCAGGATTATACCGTGTCTCCCACTTTGCAACGGTCCAGGATCTTGTAGAGATCACTGCCATTAGAAATCTTCTTCCCGTTCATCGAGGTGATAACATCTCCAAGCACCAGGCGCCCGTAGGAGTCTCTCCTCGTTGAATGTAGCCCCTGCTCCCACAAAACAAATCCGGTCCCAGAACATTAGCATGTGAAGCATACCACAATCACAAATGCCAATCAGAGAAAGAACAAAAGAGGGAAAGCAAAACATCCTCAAATTTTATAATACTGGGAACTTACTGCTTTGCCTGCTGGTCCATTCGGTGGAGCATCCAGCACGAGCACGCCACTAACGCCCAATGGTTCTACTGATTGATCAGGTGCAAATGAGATTCCTAGAACGGGACGGGTTACTCCCCCATATTTCACAATCTGCTCCACAATGCTACTCACCTGGATATAGCAATCGCAAAATCCTGAATTCAGTCTAATCCAGTGGCTTAAGTCAATAAAGTTTGCAAATCATGAGCTCAGAGTTAGATTTCACTGAAAGTGAGTGCATCGAGGGCATGTCACACATCACCTTTCAACATGAAAAATGAGCTTTCACTTCCTCTGTAAGTAGATGAACCTGAAAATATAGAACTTAGTCTTCGACATAGAAACGGAGTATAGTATACCGTGTCAACGGGTATTGAGAATCCCACACCCGATGATGCGCCAGATGGTGAGTATATGGCAGTGTTGATCCCAATTAGGTTGCCACCACTATCTAGTAAGGGGCCTCCACTGTTACCAGGATTAATTGCTGCATCCGTCTGTATAACGTCCTGAATTGGACGTCCAGTTGCTGCCGAACTGATTTCTCGCCTTAAACCGCTGCGTACAATACCAACAAGATAAACCAGTTTATGTTTACGTACTCAAAATGTGAACTGAAAAAATGGCTCCAGATCGATGAAAACTACAAACTTAGTAGAAAATTAAGTATAGTCACTGTAAATACCTTATCACTCCCGTGGTAAGTGTGTGATCAAGCCCAAACTGCATCCAAAAGAATAAATTATAAAAAGAAGTAATGACACACACACACACACACATATGTATATATATATATATATATATATATCGATCTAAACATTGAGGAATTGGCTTAGCTCTTTGAGATGTGATCCAAATTCAATAAGCGTTGACAAGCCAACTCCGAGATCACGACGTAATTGGAATTATTAATTGGCTGAAATTTATCTGCTACACCACCTTGAAAGGGCAAGAAAATGGCTGGTGGGATGTAAATAAGTACCGGATTGCCGATTGCAAATACTTTCTGACCCACTAGTAGGTCATACGAGGTGCCCACCGGTAGCGGACGCAACTCCTCTTCAGGTGCGTCAATATGAAGCACTGCCACGTCCTTGTCCTCGTCATATCCAACTATATCGGCTTCATACACAGTCTGGTCGCCCATTGTCACCCTAATATGACACAGACTTTGCCTTTAGAAAACAGTAAGAAGTGAATTTCGGATGATGTTTTGTAAGGGCGAAGCAACACAAGACCAAATTCAATTTAACTCTAATAATCTTAACAGCTCTGTATGCGTTTCAAGCTTTCGAGAAGATCCAGGACAACAACAAGTTCACGGAAGAATTAAACCAAAAATTTGAATCGTACCGCAGGTCCGAAGCCCCTCGAATGACGTGATAGTTTGTTACAATGTGGCCCTTCTTATCCCAGACAAACCCTGATCCCGAGCCCTGCGGCACTTGCATGACATCAAGAGTAAAGACGTCCCTCCTCCTGCACGCACATCCTCACATCGTTTTCAACTTCTGTAACTCTTGCTCTTAAGACACACCGGAAATACTCTATTTTCACCATGCTCAGCAACTCATTCTTGATCGTTTGTGGTATGAATCAATACATCGCTATCCACGACTGAAGAGTTCATTCCATTTCCGCAACAAATTTACAACTCCGGTCTCTTTCACCCAGCACCTTTCAAAATACTTGCATCGCTAATTGCAAGTACAAAACTGAGTCCCTCACGAAGTATGACAATATTTTGGTAAATACTAAGAAAAGTACTACTCTTGCAAGTCTCAAATCCAGAAGCAGATAGAACAATATTTCGGACAAGGTTATGGCAGGTATCCAACCTGGATGCACTTTGTAACTATGAGAATTTTACACTTCTTTCTACGGAATGTCAAGCTGAAAAACACTGATTACATGGCCCTTGGGATCGGCTCATGCTCATTTTTGTCCTGACAGAATCAGAGCGAATGAAAATTTGCAAGGCCGTCTGAAATTTAGCCAAAAGAAAGATAGGAAGGATACACACCGGAAAGCAAGATTGGTGATATACACAACGGACGGAGTATTGTCTTGAAACAGTTCCACAGTGGCCAGCTCGTCGCCTTGCAACTTCCGGGGCACCAGAACAGCAGCAGCAGCGGCATCCAAGGGCTCGCTCATCAACGACACCACGATCGCGGCTGGAACCACCCACAAATACGCCGCAGACCAGGCTGCGGCCAATTTCTCCTCGAAACTGTCCCATCTCCTCTTCACTCCATCCGAACTCTCCCCAAATCGACTAAAAGAGGCATCCCCATCACCATCCTCGACAGATCTACCCAATTCAAATCTCCCGCCCACAATCCGCACCAACCTTGGAACCTTGACACCAAATTCAAATCCACCACCCGCCTTCCGATTCACCTCCAGCTTCCCACTCACGAACCCAGAGCACTTCCGCGTTCTTCTGAGAGAGGAAAATTGGGGAACGCCACGACACCTCAGCGCAACACTCACACACGCAAATTTACGACTCGACAACTGACGATGATCCAAGTGGGAGGCAAGGGAGAGCGCCATCACTTGGAAACTACAGTTGAAGGCGGAGGTCGAGTATTGTTCGCATTCACGAGAAATTGAGCTCGATTGGGGAGAGAGCGAGGAGTAAGGACATCGATCGATCGATGAGCAGCTCCTCCTCTTCCTCTGCTGCTGCTGCTGCTGAGAATGTGAGACGAGACGAGACGAGACGACAAGGGAAGCGTGTCAGGCGAATGCAATAGTTACCGTAAACAACAATGTGCCTCCACGTCGCCATTGGTGGAATCTGCAGCCAATGGGGAGATCGACGGACATCGGAATGAATGATCCGGATCGGAGAATAGAAATCAGCGAGCGAGAGCGAGTGAGTGTGAAGACAAAACAAGCAAGCGAGGGGGGGCAAAGCAAGAGGGCCAAGCAACCGGTGCTGTCCAGACACTGCCCGCGCACCTTTCATTACCATTCATTGACCCAACGGGACAGGTCCCAGTGGCGCTTCCAGAGTGGTTTACCGTGTGCTTTCACCTCTGGCGGCGGCTTCACGCTCCTCCCTCGGCTTTGGTCACCGCTGGTCGCACCCTGTTACCACTGCAACCTATTACTGGCATTCCCCATTACCGACACAAACTGTTCTCGTTGTAATCTATAACCGTCTATCCTATTACCGTCGCCGGCTCAGTCGATTGCCTCTGTTTACAATTGGTTTGAGCTTCGAAAACATCCGCTCCATTCTAGTTGCACCACCTCCGTATTTTATGTGTATATTTTTTTTCTATGTTTCTGTAAAATAAATTATTATCATTATCTCTGATTTATTTTACCCTGGATGACATTATTTGTTATTATTATTATTATTATTATTATTCAAGATTTGAAAAGGGATAAAAAAAATTAAAAATTAAAAAATGGGGGAGAGATGACATGTAATGTTTTTCCATGTGTAAAAAAACATGTGCATATAATATAGACACATGTGTGAGTTTGATTTTTCTTTTTTTAAGATTAAAATTAGACTCAAATTTCTGGTGCTTGTGCCTTTCCAATAGTACATAGTTGAACTAACATGTAAATATTTTCTTTTTCTTTTTCTTGTCTCTTTTTTTTCTTTCATCATAATTTCTATTATTAGTAGAGAGGTAATAGATATATGTGTGGTTAAAGAAAAAAAATATATTCTTATATTTTTGAATAAGGTGGAAGCAAGTTTGTCTTTATTTCTTGTAGATTGGATGTAATGGGGGATGGATAAGTTAATTATATTATTGACATGTAGAAATAGGTAATTGAGGCTATTTTTGGAAATTTTTTAGAAGTTTTTAGAATTGGGGCCAAGTTGGTGGTCTATATAGGATCCACCATAGAACATTCTAAAAGGTGGTTATCTTGGTAGGATCCATTATTAGGGATATTCTAAAAAGTTTTAAGATGGTGGAACAAAGTATAAATAGGACAGACTAAGGTCATTTGGGGCATTTGATTAGATATGGATTTGGTCCCTTTCTCTCAATAAAGTTTACTTTAAATTTTTTGTTTTGTTTTGTTCTATTTTTTTTTGCTCAATTTTGTCTTTTATGTTCTATTTTATTTAGTTCTATTTAGTTTTGTCCTACTTTATAATAGAATTTATGTTATTATAGACTAAAAGGGTTTTAGATCTTTAAGAGAATTCAATCTTCTTTCATTAGTATCAAAGCGAGTGTTAGTCTATTCTTTAGTAATATATTCATAACCATTGTCTAGTTAGAGGTCAATTGTTGTAATTACACCAGTTATAATTTTAGGACTACCACAAGCTACTTTTAAGAAGTCAATTGGAAGGGTAGAAGGCATTACAATAGCAAAATTTGGCAATGAAATTGTAGCATAGGAGATATAATAGAGCCATCCTAGATGGAGGCTCAGGTGCAACATCTCTTAGACCAAATAGCTACTTTACAAGGACAACGAAGTTGAGATCTACTATGCTAAAATTAAGCAAGTCCAAAATATATTTTAGAACTTCAAGACAAGAAGATGTATGTCAATAGCTCTTTAATATGCGACAATGCTTCCAACTATCTAGGGCAAGCACCACTCAAAGAATTATGTATGTAGCCAACTATTTGAGAGGTGTAACAGCTATTTGATGGTGACATTGAGCTCAAAATTATAGAGCTCTAGGAAGATTTTGTAACTAGAAGGAGTTTGAGACCAAACTTAGGAATCAATTTTGGCTCATCAATGTAGAAAAATTAGCATATAATAAATTGACTAACCTTATATAATTCAAGTTAGTACAAGATTATGTCTCCTGATTGAAGTCTCTATGTTTCGAAATTGACAATGTTTTTGAGGCGAAGATGATGGATCAGTTTGTATGAGGGTTAAAACTTATGGTTCAAGAAGAGGTGGAATTAAAGGATGTGCAAACATTTGCGGAGGCAATTAAGATTGCAAAGAGGATCAATGCTAAAGATTTTAGAAATAGTAGAGCACGACTTATAGAGCAAAATCTTATGCCATTATTCAATATTATAGCACAACAACCAACACTAATGGAGATTAATGCCTTGCAAGGACCATTGATATAATAGAAACAAAAAATATTGATATAGAAGATATTTTGTTATTATTGTTGTGAGCCAAGCCATCAAATTGGAGATTTTCTAAAGCATCAAAATTTAAGTAATAACAAATCAAGGTGGATTCATAATCTTGATGCTCACCAAGATGATAAAGAAGTGGAATATGAAAATATGGCTCCTTAGTAAAAACAACAAGGACTAGTACTAGGAATAATTGTTATCTCTCAAAGACAAATGGCATGACCTAAGGCAACTACCTAAAGGATTGACTAGTGTGTCTAATGGATTGACTAAGAGGACAACCATGTCAAGTACTTATAGATTGTAATTCTATAAAAAATTGCATCTCGACTTAGACTATCGATGGATTTGGCATTAAAACTAAGGTAATCAAAAGAGGAAGTATATACTTAGTTGATGACTAAAAAAATCTATTAAATAAAACATGTAAAGAAAAAATCTTGTAATTGAATGACATCTATGCCTTGAAAGAGAAGTTCAAGGTAACAAAGCTTAGATATGACATTATTCTTGATTTATCATTGCTAGAGGTAAAAAATAAGCAAGTTGATTAATTAATAAGGATGATTTTCTTCAAAGACAATGGATGCAAGATGATTCTTTGTGCCTCCGTATTGAATGAGGTAACAAAATGATCTTCGACTAAAAGCTTATTCATAGAAATGACCTTTATGAAGAAGCAAATACAACATAAGTAATCAATATCTCTAGTATTTCCAAATCTTGCCTCAATGGTGGGAAAGACATTTAAAGGAGCAGAATGAGCAGAACAATTCATACGTGAATATTGGGATATTTTTCCAACTGACTTATCTAGTGGCATGCCACCTAATTGAGGCACCTCCTTTCAAATAGAATTATTGCACAAAGTCAAACTAATAAGTCGGCCAAATTATTGCCTAGCATCAAATGAAATTAAAGAATTAAAAAAGATATTGGAGGAACTCTTAGAGAAGGACCTTATTTGAGAAAGCATATTACCATAGAGAGCACATGTATTCTTTGCACCCAAAAAGGATAGTGGACTTCGACTTTGCATCGATTATTGAGGCCTTAATAAATAGACTATCAAAAATACAAATCTACTTCTATGTGTAGATGTTCTTCTTTACCAACTTCAAGGTGCAATCATCTTTAGCAAATTAGACCTTTGTAATGGCTATGAGCAAATACCTATTGCAAAAGAGGATAAAAAAAAGATAGCATTTTTTATGCACTATGGACATTTTGAATGACTTATTTTAACTTTTGGCCTCACCAATGCTCTATTCTCTTTTATAAATCATATGAACATACTATTTTGAGACCTTTTGGATAAATATGTAGTTGTCTTCATTGATGATATTCTAATCTATACTAAAACTCATAAAGAACATGAGCAACACCTATGGCAATTACTGTGCTAGCTACAAGATAATTGCTTCTATTGCAAATAATCAAATTATGAATTTTGGAAGTTGGAGGTCACCTTTTTAAGGTATGTAGTGTCCTTTAAGAGCGTGTAGATGGAGCATGATAAGGTAAAAGCAATGGAAGATTGGTCAACCTCCAAAGATATTTTTGAAGTTTGCTCATACTTGCCATTTTATTTGACAATTTGTATTTATTGTTGCCTTATTAACAAGCCTATTAGAGAAAGGTGCTCCATTTAAATGAAAAGTGGAGTAGCAAAAAGCCTTTAATAGATTGAAAGAACCATTCATTACTACTCCAATATTACAATTATATGATCCCAACCTTCTCTGTACGCTTGACATTAATACTTCTGACTTTGCTATTAGAGCGGTCTTTCAATAAAACTTTAATAAGGGCCTTCAATCCATGGCATATAAATCATACAAGCTTAGAAGAATAAAGTGCAATTACTTTAGATATGATTAAGAGCAATTAGTGATTGTACATGCCACAAAAGTGTGACAACACTATCTATTGTAAAAGCCAATAATTATTTGGATTGATCATCAATTCCTACTATACAATTTGCATCTGAAAAATATGAAATCACAATATCATCATTTGAAATAACAGTTGCAACTTTTTAACATTCAACTTGAGTACAAGCAAGGGTGACAACATATTATGCTAAACAGCTTATTGTCAAGACCAGACTTGAAGATCAAATTGGAAGACAAGACAAAAATCACTACTATTAGTAGTGTCATTTCAAATCTAATCAAAGAGCCAAAATAGAAAGAAATTATGTATTATTATGCTTATTTTAAGATGATTAGTAATTAATTGAAGATGAATAATATATAATATCAAGATTACAGTCTTAAAAATAGCTTATTCTTTTTGAAGAAGTAGATTTATATATCTGATGATGATATATTTTGGACGCCCATATTTCAAGAGAGACATGACATTCCAATATTTAGGCATCTAAGGCATGAAAAGATTCTAAAAAAAATCTCAAGGACATGATTTTGAATAGGTTTGGATAGTGATGTTTGAACTTTTATGCACTCTTGCAAGCTATGTCAATATAAAAAAGCATGCAACATGACATCTCCTAGGCTATAGCAGCTAATTTTGTTATCTAAGGCTTGTTAGGAACAAGTAATCATAGACCTCATCATGTGTTTATCGTAGATGCCTCATAATCACACTGTAATTGTTGTCTTTATGGACTGATTTTCAAAACAACTTCACTTGGTTATTGTGCAATCTAATATTGATGCTCCAGCACTTATACAAACTTCTTTGATATTATCTTTTGTCACCATGGATTATCTCCTATCATTGTTTTAGATTGGGATCGGCACTTTACGGGGAGTTTTTGGCATGACTTATTCAAGCTATTAGGTATACAACTTGCCGTATCCATAGTCTTCCATCATGAAATGGATGGACAAATTGAAAGTGCAAATCAAACTTTGGAGGATATGCTATAAGAATTTGTGGCAGTTCACCATAATAATAGGGATGAATATTTGATGCCCTTGAAGTTTGCTTATAATGATAGTATTTAAGCAAGTATTGATCATTTACTATTCTTCTTTAAGATCAGTTAGCATCCAATTATGCCAACAATTCTCCATTGTCCCATCTACATTGACAACTTTAGAACGGAAGAGTTTATATAATGGCTTACAATTGTCTTGCAGGAAGCACAACATTGCCTCCTTATCACACAGAATCAGCAAAAGAAATATGCAAATAATCACCAACAACATAAGACCTTTTAGGAGGGTGATCAAGTATTATTCTTCAATTCCAACTTTTCACTTGCTACATCAACCCAAGTTCGTAAGTTGGTACTTTGGTGGCTTGGACCTTTCTGCATTTCTACATTGATTTCTAATGTTGCATATTGCCTTGAGTTTTTCCTATATAATTAAGTCTATCCGATCTTCCATATTTTACAATTCAAAGAGTTTCATATTGAACCAAAGAGCTTCTTAAACCAACACCAACCACCATCACTATTGGTTGTAATTTATGACCAATAAGAATATGAATTAGACAATATTTTGGAACATTCCTACTTTCATTATGATAATGGACATCTGCAATTTCAATACAAGATTTTCTAGAAAAGCTATTCCATCCACGATGCAATATGGGAACTTGTACAGAACCTCACTTATTATCAAGAACCAATCTGGAAGTACCATCGGGAGCAAAACAAAGATATTTTGCATTAATGGAAGGAGATTAACTATAACGGGGTATGAAAAAAGATAATTCTATTATTGATACATAAAAATAGGTAATTGGAGCTATTTTTGGAAAGTTTTTAGAATTTTTTAGAAATGGAACTAGATTGTTGGTTCATATAGCATCCACCATAGAATATCTTAAAAGAATTAAAGGTGGTTATCTAGGTAGGTTCCACTTCTAGAACCTTTTAGGAAGGCAATTATCAAAGTAGAGTCTACCTCTAAAATCTTTTAAAAGATCATTATTTTGGTAGGGTCCACCATTAGGGACATTCTAGAAAGTTCTAAGATAGTTGGACAAAGTATAAATAGGATTCACCAAAGCCATTTGAGATATTTGGTCAAATATGGCTTTGGTCTTTTTTTCTTAATAAAGTTTGGTTTGTATTTTTTATTCCATTCTATTCTATTTTCTTTTGCTCTGTTTTGCCTTTCATGTTTTATTTTTTTTAATTTTATTCAATTTTATTTTTGTCCATTTTGTCCTACTTTGTGATAAGATTTATATTGCTATAGACTAAAAGGGTTTTAAATCTTTAAGAAAATTCACTCTCATTTCATTAGACTACTGTGATTTGTATTTCTTTTCAAGAACTTTACAATCTAAAATGGTCTTAACTTTGCAAGAAGTATACTACCATTACTGCTCATGTGGTTGTTGTTTACTTACGAATATAGTTGGATACTACACAAAAAATAGTTTGTTAAAGATTGATTTTTTTTATTTTGGAAGAGTTACTACATTGTAAGTAAAAAATCAATATTCAATATTGAAATCATATTTAAAAGTGACTATTAAAGACATGTGAGAAGTACAAATTTTTCTTGTTTTTTTTTCCATAATACAATAAAAGAAATCAAAATAGAAGAGAATTCAAAACAAACCTATGTATATCATCAACATAAGATTGGTTTTTTTTACCAATGTTCTTAAATACATCTCTTTGTATGCTTTCAACCTTGTTTTTGAGCAATTGAAATATATAAAAGTACTACTTCATGATAACAATTCATTATACATAAGGACATTGACAAATATATTAGACCTTCTATGTAAGCATTAAGTTTGAGATTTATTAAGAAATGGTGGTATTTTGACAATTGATGATTTTTATTATCACTATTATTTGGTAAAAAAATTTGAGTTCTTATTTATAATACTGCCATAGATCCAACTTGCTACTTTTAAAGATCTATGTCCTCTCTACAATGTTGTCAATCAAAAAAACCACAACAATAAAAGATGTATTAAAACTTGTTATTTCTACAATATGCAACATAGGCATTTTGAACCTAATTGTTTTGTATATACAATCTATAACAATAGATGAAGAATATCTTTTTGTAAGTTCAACACACTCAAAATATCGAAAAAAAATAAAAATTATCTTATTGTCTTTCTTAAATTGATATATAAAGTGGTAATTAGTGGCATGTAAAGTTTCATAAGGCAAACAATGGGTGAACAACCATCACGCACAATATGAAATAATCTTTGCTGCTAGTTGTAAATAATATGAACAATAACTATGCTATTAAAATCTCTTTTTTTATAATGCAATTACAACGTTTTTTTGGGACTACTTCTATGATAAGCAACCATAATGCCATCTCTTTCTTTGCTAGTTGAAGACAACAAGCAAATAAATCGCCTATAAAAAAAACAAAAGAATTATAATTATAAAGACCATTCTAAATTATGAAGTGCCATTGTATACTACTCCATAAACAACAAGCATGTAACTCAAATGGACATCTAATTAATTGAATTACAATATTTTATTGACAAATATAATTATTTTGTTCACAATAAAGTCTTTTTTTATTATATTTGGAATGAATGCAATGCTTGTCAAGGCAACATTTGCAAATAATATATTCTTAAGTATATGCAAATATATCTATATTATCTTTCATCTCTTTAATGTATTCTAAATATCTTTCTAGTAGAGCAAACATGAATGCCTCAATTTCCATTGCAAATAATTCTAATATATACAATTCTCTCTCTAATCTCTATACACTAGACATAATGTCAAAAAATGCTAACTCTATATTAGAAGATAAGCATGAAGAAGATTGAGTATATAAAAACTTATAGACATGACAAGGTAAGACAAATAGTAGTATCTAATAATTGTAGCTATTAATAACCACTAGTATTAGTCATATATTTATGATTGTATAAACTATATTTTAAAAAATTCATGATTCTTTCAATCTAAATACAGATGATGGTTTTAATGATAAAGAAAAATTGAACAATCTATGTACCAATTTGTGATGATGGATGGATTGATTTCGTAAAAGATAGAATCTATTTAACATTCTCTTATTTTAAAAGATATTATTTTCACACAAAATATGATTAAATGTGTATAAAATTAAGTATGTGGAAAGATCTTATTTTTATTTTATATTTATATCACAATAAAGAAATTATTTCATTAGTCAATTTTTTCTCTACTTACTTATAATATTTACTATTATTTATTAATAATATACAACACAAACTACAAATTATATTACATCTGTTCTTTCACAACTTTAATATAGAAGCCTTAATTAAGTTCAAAATCAATAATATTTTAGTTTTAGAAGCTTGATGTTCTTTTATGACTATTTATTATTTTTTAGATAAGCATATATATATATATATATATATATATATATATATATTATTTATATTACTAAAACTAATAGATGCATTTACATCTTTTTTAAGAAAATAAGACAATCTAATACAAAATATTAATAGAAATGGACTTTGGAGTCCTTTAGAATTTGTTTTGTGAAATATTAGTAATTGTTTGTACATGAATGGTATCATTGTCTAAAAAAAAATCTCATCACATGTATCTTTTCTTTTTTGTTTTATTTTTATTTTTTTGGATTGAATGGATTTATTTATTTGCTTATTTTGAACATTGTATTATACTAATTAAAATTCAACCCAGATCTTTTTAGTCATAAAATGCCACCACCACTTGTTCAAGATTTGTTTTGTGTACTCCAAGATTATATCTTTATGATCAGAAAATCTTGTACTCACGACCACCACTATTCAAGATATATGATCAAAATTTTGAAGTATGATAATAAACACCAACACAATTCAAGTTCTATAAAAATAGAGCACATGTTCTACACAATTGGTATGATTATAGAGTCATTGCAACAAAAGAGATTTAAAGTGGTAAGTCTTCACCATCACCGACGTGAGAATTAGGGCCACGATGGCACCACCCACTCAGGAATTAGGGTTTCCAGCAGAGCAATGGGAACCAACCAGGCACGACGGGCGAGGAGGTGACATAGGAGGAAGGGAAAGACGAGAAACACGATTTTGCCGAGACGGGTGCGGTGAATGCAGTCCCTCCTCGCGTGTTCAAAATCCGAGGAACTACCACGCGATCGATCCGTGGCGATGGTGGTGGTGGTGGCAATGGCCCGATTCGGAGCAGGCCGATCTCGTCGCGCTGCCAAAGAGGAAAGTGCCGCAGACAGGGGGAGGAGGAGGAATGGATGTTGGCCGAGACAGAGCAGCAGTTCGGAACCACACTCGCTCCCAGCGATTTTGGATGCAGCAGCCACCCCGTCGCCAGCCAATTCTTAGTTCCCTGCGCTGAGCATCGTCGCATCCGCGTCTTGACACTCCCTCACTCTTCGCCGCGCGGATGCTCCTGCCCATCTACCCCCGCCGAGTAAGTAAGCATCTCCTACCCTGGACCATCTCCTCCATTTTCCGTCCACTTGCATTTCACTTCACCCCTGTGTGGAATTTGTTCTGCGGAAAATTCTGGAGGGATTGCTTGCGTCTCAGTAGAGAGGGGGGTGGGTGAGATGTGTAGTGTGACGCATGATCGTGCTGAGTAGACTGTCTGAGTTTTTCGACGACGAGTCAGTGTGAGTTGGGTTTCAAATTTCGGACTGTGTGTGGGCGTGTCGGTATGTTGTGCTTGTGATGGTTTGTGAAATTTTGAATGGGGAAGTTTTTTTGAGTATGTTCAATGTGGTGGAAGATTGGTGCCGCCGCTGGAGTTAGTGTGGACTGAGATCTTAAATTGCATCAAGTGCTTGCGTGGTCATTCATTTGCACGTGGTTATTGGGACGATAGACGACTCTGTTCACTCGTGTTTGTGGGAGGGATCTGAAAGCAATCTCACTGTTTATTTTTTGGAAGTTTGGTCTGTGGGATATGAGGAAGACGAAGGATTTTGTCTTAAATCTGAAAGATATACCTTCGTATTTGTCTGCTTTGTTCAGCTGTGAGCTGGTCGTCAGGTGCCCGATGCTCCGTGTTGCGGAGTTAGTGCTTGCATTATGCTCTTGCGAATCTGAATTCTTTGAACATTCGATAGTCTACAAGGGTTCTGGGTACAAGGCTCCGACTGCTGCTTCCTCCGCTTCGCGAGATACCTAAATCTATGCATTGAAGCTTGCAAAGGGTCTAGTAGATCTTAAGACGTTATGAGGAGTCCGTGAACATACGAGGAGAACCGTTAATAGATCCTATTTTATGCGCTTGTTCAATTTACTCTTCGTGTTCCAGGACATCTGGAAGAATTGCATATAGAGTGGCAGTTGGAATATGAGACTGTACCGATTCAGCAAGGACGGGGTTCTGATACAGAACATACCAAAGGGGACAAATACCTGGGTGGATATAGAAAATAATTCGTTTGCGTGTCCCCTAAGAGACTCTCAAGATTGCTTTGGCAAATGTTGCTGGAAGCTTCGGCTTTATACGTAAACAGCTTTATGCAATGCAGTTTGTGCCTGATTTCTCCCATGCTGTATCATTCCTCTGTCAAAAATATATCCTAGTACATCTCTATACCTCATCCCCAGTATCGGATCATTAAATGAATAAGGGTTAACTTTTATCGCTCTTAAATGGTGTTATTTGAATAGGTGATGGGGCAGCATTTCTACCTCCAGTTCTGAGACCATGTTCCAAATTGTTGTGATTTCTCAAATCTTTACAGCAAAACTTATTACACACGAAGGCGGATTGCTGTTTCAAGTTTTAAACTTCTTGTTTCCATTTGTGAGCTTAACCATGTAACCAATGATCGGGACTCTAATGCCTCCACACCACAAGGACCCTTAACTAGCATCGAGAGAATGTTTTAATGGCATGGTTGTTCCCCTTTACTTTGACATGCCTCCGCCTTTCCTTAATTGTACATCTTTGGTTACTTTTCTCTTCCTCCAAGGTAGGAGTGGTAGGACGGGTGCCTGAATTACCATCTGGAGTCAAGCAAGTAGCACACTATTGACTTAAAGTAAAGTGATTTTAAACTCCGAAGAGGTGTGCCATGGCTGATCTGGCTGATTTCGATGCGATGCATTGCGTTCTAAAGCACGCATGTCATTTCTGTGTGCAGAAACTGGTGGCATCGGTGAGCGAAATACGTTGAAGTCCATTCCCTGTGATGCATCTGTAGGTGGTGAGGAGCAGATGCCTGGAGCTTGACATCGTGGTGCAGGTGGGACGAAGGGCGATCAGCGGGGTCGGAAGGCCCCAGGCGAGTTGAAAGAAAGAGGTTTGGGGAGCGTGGGGAGGTCGAAAGATGTCGAAGGCGATGGCCGGGTGGTTTGGGCGCACCCACAGCAAGTCCATGTCCAAGAACATGAACAAGCAAGACGCGCAGACGGCAGAGCAAGGGAACGAGGAGAAGGAGAATGGGAGCGAGAAGGAGGTGAAGTGCCTGACGAAGTGCGAGTCGCTTCCGACGAACTCGAGCAGCGTGGAGTCGGACGACGACGAGTCGCAGGCAGAGCAGGAGGCAGCGTGTGCAGCGTTCAACGAGAAGGAGCTGGGTCCACTGGTGTCGTTGAAAGAGCAGCTGGAGAAGGACAAGGAAGACGAGAGCCTGCGGCGATGGAAGGCGCAGCTGCTGGGGGTGGCAAGCCTGGAGGAGGGGGACGGGTTCGTGGAGCCGGAGGTGAAGGTGGTGTCGCTGGGGGTGATGGCGAAGGGGCGAGCGGACAGCGAGTTTCCGCTGCCGCTGGGGACGAACAGCAGGGGTTACACGTTTTCGCTGAAGGAGGGGTCGACGGTGGCGCTGAAGTACGTGTTCACGGTGCGGAACAACATCGTGTCGGGGCTGACGTGCGTGAACACGGTGTGGAAGGTGGGGCTGCAGGTGGACCAGACGCGGGACATGATGGGGACGTTCGCGCCGCAGCAAGAGGCGTACGTGCACATCGCGGAGGAGGAAGTGACGCCGTGCGGGCCTCTGGCGCGCGGGGCATACACGGCGCGGAAGAAGTTCGTGGACGACGACGGGAGGGTGTACCTGGAGTTGGATTACTCGTTCGAGATTCGGAAGGAGTGGTAGAGTGAGTGAGTGGGTGGGGCGAGGCGATCGGAGGGAGGAGAAGAGCGAGAGGGAGAGGGAGAGGGAGCGGGAGAGGGTCCCATTGTGTGATACGTGAGAGGCAGGGTGGCATGTTGGCAGTCGAACGACGCGAACGAGGGAAAGAACGGATGAGGAGAGTGGAATTGAGCCGAGAGGCGTGACCGAGTCGAGGGAGAGGAGGATGCATGGCGTGTGGGGAGGCGGTGGAATGGAGCAGCAGGGCAAGGGGCGAGGGGTGTGGGGAAGAGGAGGTGTGAAGGAAATGATTTGGAGGAAGGTGTGGAAGGATTGGCGATGGAGAGGGTGTCACGGTGCGTGCAAAAGCTAAGAACGTTGGAACGGACACAGACGGCGAAGTGTGGGTCCCCCCTTGTAATTTACAGCTTGTCCATCTCCTGAGCTTTTAAATTGTCTGGGTTAGATATTCTGGTTGAGTTGTCAAGGAACATTGGAAGATTCAAATTGAAGACTCCTCTCGTAAGGTATAACTTTAGGTCACAGCACTTACGGATTTAGTAGTTTCCTTTCAGGCAAACTGCGTATTTCATCCCCACCTTGGGGACTCGGTACTTGAATTGAACCGAAAGCAGCACTTGGTAAATGGATTATTCTTCTTAATTACTGGCGTTCCGTGCAGTTGTAGAGCGGATTGTTTCGCTGTGGTGGCAGCTGAGCTTCTGTGGAATCAATTTTCATGTTGAGTACCCATACTGTAGTGATGTATTTTGTGGATGTGTTCGCGAGAACTATCTAATCACTCCTCTCCCTCCTCAAAATGCGTATTCGTGTTTCTCTCAAGTTGGCTTATGACAGTTTTTCTGCAGAAATGTGGAGGGTCGTTAAACTTGACAATAACATGACTATTTCGCACTCTGTCCTATCGTCGCCCTTAACCATGTGGCCATGGCCTTGAAATGCATTTTTTAACAGAAAACGTCCAGACTGCACTACGGTAATTAGATGCACGCCTCCAAGTTTGGGAAGACATTCACCATATGCCACCTGCAGTTTCTTTGTGAAATGAGTTAAATCTGGCTCAGAACGGTGTGAGAAAACCACCTACACAAACGCACCGGATTTCCTTAGAGGATCCAAGTTAAATCCTCCGAAGGCGGTAGATTTTAAACCAATGTGGAAGTGTAGTCTATGTCTCCACACTTCCTGATATTTCATGGAAAAGGAATGAAAGTGAGCATTCAAGATGGGATCAACAACCTCACGGTCAAACTGCATGCTAACTAGTTGACAGGCAGGAGGTTTCACGAAGTTTAAGTACCCACTTCGAAAGCTCATCCCAGAGCATGAAATCGGGAAAATGACTTCGAGATTTCTGATCAACTCGCGGCGAGCTGGCACAGATGGGGGACAGAAAAAAACAATACAATACAAACAAAAAACAAAAACAAAAAACAAAAAAAGGCTTGCCTCTCGGTGCAGTGTGTCCATTGCAATTACAACCTCACCCACGGACCAGATCCCTAGGATTTGGAAACACCGCCCAATGCAAACCACGAATAGCCAAAAACCAGCGCAGGTGCACAGGGCTAGTCTCAACTGCTGCAACTGCTGCAGAGAAGTGGCTGGTGGTGTCAGAGCGTCGGAGGCACTGCTACTAATGCTTGCAGCAAATTCAAACACCCTTCCCAAGTAGTCTGAGCATACACTGGTAACTTGCCGTAACAGGCCACCGGATTCAAATTTTGAACAGGTTGTGTAGCTGACAGAAATCCACTGAGACCCCATCTCCGCACCCGCTCTGCAAGTCCGTCCCCGTTTTGGGGCTCACTCAACTAAATCTGCGCCGATGCCGGAGACGTCGCGATTTGCCGGCCGTTGCGGCTGCGGCTGCGGCTGCCGCCAAATCGTTATGCAGCAGAAGGCCCAGCGGGGAGGTGAAGACATTATGGACTGTAATGTCCAATCGAGGGGACATGGTCGTCTGTAATGCCCTCTTCGATTTTAACTTTCGAAAAACGTTACTAGTTACTTCACAAAATACTCAAATCATCAACGCAGTCCGTTACAATAAAGCTGTTAAGTACATGTCAGTGTTTATCGTTTCATGATAAAGTGTTAGAAAGCATTTCATAGAATAATATTCAGTAATTTTGGGATGTGAGTAAGAGATTTGTGTAAAAACATGAAAGATAATCATTTCCCAATTAATTTGTTTTTGAAAATTTGCATACAATGGAATAAAAGTTGGGTTAAGTTTTGCAAACCACGTTAAACATTCAATTACACAAGAAAAGCGCATCCCACTGTTGATAAGGAAACTCCTACTCCTATTCTGATTCATGAGTACTATTTTAAAATTATATAATTTAATCAGCTTTCACAATTTGAATCCAGAAAAAGTATGTTACATCATTTGGAAAAGATCTAAATTGAAGATCACTTAATGATGATTAGAGGTTTTGAAATTGCACAAAATTTCTAAATAACATACCAACATATATTAATTAATTCAATACATTTATGAGTAAACCTTATCTTAGTTGTCACAAATTCAAACTTTGTATTAGATGTATTTTGATTATCTATTGCAGGGTCACATACGTCAAATCGTTCAAGAGTTTCACAAAAAAACTAATTACAAACAATCATGCTTATTTCATAAACTGTTTTTAAAAGAAGGGGGATTTTGAATTAGTTACCATTGTGCAGAACCTTCCAAAAATGATGTGCAATTTTACTTTATGGAAATGAATTACTATGAAGAAAAGGTTTTCTGTAATGACCATATCTCTGCCAAAACAAACATTATTTGTAATTAAAATAAAATTTAGAACAATGTGAATTATTATTCATACTATGCCTAACAATCTAACCAAGTTCACATATTTGGCTTGTATGGTGGCCAATTCAAAACTTTCGAACTGCAAGTAAAATAATTTTGTTTAGTTTTACATTTACAAAAAAACTAATGGATCACATTGAACTGTAAATTGTAGAAATAAAAGAAAAAAAAAAAGAAAAACACATGCACACATACTTTGGACGTAAAACAAGATTCAAACGTACTTAAATTAAATTATACATAACTTTCTTATAAAACTTTATGAATGATTTGAAATTATTATTCAAATTTGCAACTTTTTATATAATAAATTTTAAATCTTTTTATCTCATAAACCACATATATGTTGTTGTTGTGTGTGTATAAATATAAATATAAATATATATATATATATATATATATATATATTAAAATTATGATAGAAACTATGCCATAACTAAAAGAATTTTAATCGATTTAAATATACTGTGGTTTGTGTTTGTATATGCAACATAACTTGGTCAATACACAATGTTTGTCAAGTGAACTAATGCATTACAATTCAATAATCCTATTCATTGATTGTACAAAAAATTAAAAATGTGATATCAACGACATATAAACATATGTAGATACAATTATACATTCATATACACAAACATATATATAATTTATGAACATTGTAGTAAACAGAAAGAAAAACACCAAAAATTAAATATGATTTATATATATATTGTTTTAACTTTAAAAATTTAAGATTTGAGTGGCATTAATATTATTTTATGAAACATGTAAATATAACACAATAAGAAATACCACCAACCATAAAATTCAATAAAGTCCATGTTTCCTATATGTAATATACATTATTTGACTATACTCTTGTGTCTTGATATATATATATATATATATATATATATATATATTTTTTTATTATTATTATATTTCACTACTCTATAAGATTTTTATTCATCCAATATTGTTATATTTAAAATGTATAATCAATGAAACTGTTCATGAAATAGTATCAAACATTTAATAGTACATAAGATGATACATTTTTTTTAAAATAATTTAATATATTTTTAGTAAAACTTACAATACACAATTGAGATAGTTTTTACAAACCTTGTCAGTGTTCATCAAATTATGTTACTTTTTTATTTTTTATTTTTTATTAGATGTTTCATTGTGAATAAAAATATGTAACTAATAACTATTTTATTATATTTAAAATCATAAATTATTTCATATACATGAACTCAACTTATATTTCTACACTTTAATTGCAAGATGTGCCAATTTTTTGTGATTGAGTATTAGTTTGCAAAATTGAAAAAAAAAAAAAAAAAAAAAAAAAAATCTTGTTGAGTAGTTTTCTTCTGTGTGTGTTTGTGATAAGCATGTGCGTATATGTAGCCGATAACCTGAAAAACGTAAAAGTAAAATATTTCATCTATTATTCTTGCATGCATGCAATCAATGGTTTGGAATGAACTCATTATCATACAAGCCAATTTGAAACTATTACTAAAGTGTTTGAAAATACTAAAGTATTTAAAACGAAACTGATATAAGGGTGAGAACATTTGTATTTGACACTTGAAATTCTTTTTAGTTATGTGACTTTGTATTGAAAAAAGAAGAAGCATAATTCTGTGTATTTCTATCAAATATTGGTGGATAAACTAGTTGCTTATAATGTAATTGCAGTATCACATCTTTAATTTTATAGTTCTGTATTTATCACTCTACAGTGAATGTGTGTATATGTGTATACACATATATATATATATATATATATATACACATGGATGATGTAAGAAAACATATCCTTCCTAATACAAATACTAATCACATTCTTTAAACAACAAGCCCACCCAAAAACAAATCCTAAAATCATCTTTCTCAAATTTGAAATTTCAATTTGTGTTTTAAACATTAAATTTATGTGGATATATATATATATATATATATATATATATATATTAAGTGCTGATGAACAAAACCATTTGCTCAAAAGAAATATTTACTTCTAATGTGTGTCCCTCATATATACACATACACAATGAATCAGTTTTAACATTAAAAAATCAAATTTATTGACTAAACTAATGTAATTACAAATACACGTAAGCATTACAAGCTTCAATTTTTTTGATCATTTCAAGTATCATTTCTATTTACATTCATTCTGTATTAACAGTATAAAAATAACAAACAAAAAAAACTTATGCTTCTGCAGAAGTTAATGCGAGATTACACTCAACCCATGTCTTTCCAACATTGCTTCTACAGTCAAATTAGTCCTATGAGTTGAGTTCAGCTCTTTTACATTCCTCATGGTTAATAGACTCATTGTGCTTGAATCTTCTATCATGTAATACTAAGTATGTTTTTCGTTTGTTTTTTATTTAGAAGAAGAAGGAGGAGGAGGAGGAGTGACCAATGTACAACAGAAAAGCAAACCCTAAAATCCATACCTGAAAACAGACCTTCCTCTTGGCTTCCAAACATGGGGCCCCATTATCAATGAGAGCATCGCCAAAATAGTAAGAAACTAATCACCCTCATTCTAATATACCCTAATTCCATCTCATACTGATTGGTGGTGCCTTGCCACAAGACGATTCTGGGCGGAAACCAACATGGCACAGCAGAGGGGGGATAGACCTTATTTAAAAATAATTGCCATGGGTTTCATCATGTTCCCTTTAAGTTTCTTTGAAGGAAATAAATAAATAAATAAATAAATAAAATTTCCAACTATTTTGGTTGCATCGATCAAAGCAATCAGTGCATACCACGAAAAGATTAGACTAACTCGTTCCATTCTTAAATAGACCTACGAGGAGTGATGGTGGTCATAGGAACTGGAGTGGTCATAGGGGCGAGAAGTGAGAGGCTCCGACCACCCACTTGATGGGGACGGGTGATGAAAGGCGCCATGGATGGCAGGCACTGGGGATGATGACGTGGACGGTGACGTGGACACGCGATCCCCTGAGGAATGTGGAAAATGAGGGGAGGGGTTTTTGCATTTTTGCATTTAAAAAGGACACATTTGAGAGCTGGGCGTAGTAAATGAGGCCCATCCGTGCTCAAAATCGGGGGGTGGGGTGGAATTGCAATGGCAGCCATGGCGATGGCGGACCAAGACACCCGCGCATCCCCGAAAGGCCGGGCGCGTCATTTCCCCGAATTATACGTCACTGCAAGCCACCGAGACAGCGCGCGAGCGGGCGAGGGACCGAGACAGAGCTAGGACAGGAGCAGGAGGAAGGGAGAGAGAGCGAGAGAGCGACAGGCATAGAAAGAAAGAAAGCGGGCGCCAGAATCGAGACAGATGTTGTCAGGTTTCGAAGGAGGAAGAGGAGCAGCCTACTTGGTCATTCCCCTTTGCATCGCCATCGCCACCGCATCGCATCCCCGTCAACACCGCGGCATTCGGTGCTTCGATCGTATGTAACAAATCCCATCGCCACCGATCTTATTGGCAGCGGCGAATGCCATCTCAGATTCTCTCGTTCTTTCTCTCCTCTTTGACCCGCTCTCTCCCTTTCTCTCTTTATTTCTCTGCTGCGCTGAGGCTCAACCCTCAGCTCCTGCCATGTGAGTAATCCTCCAGCTCTCTCCACCTCCTCCCCCCACCCTGCCCCACCCCACCCAACCACGCTCCTCCTCCCTCCGTCCCTTGCATTCATGGTTGCCGTTTCAAAGCGTCCGCGACATTGCTCTGCGTTCTCTGGCTGCGGTAGTGTCGCATGCCGCGGAGGATTTTCGGGGAGGATCTGATGCCGTCGTAGTGGAGGGAGGGGAGCGAGAGATTCGTGGTGTGACGGTTCTGAGTTGAGTGGACCGTTTCAGGTGTACGACGACGAGGAGTCATGACGAGGTGGGGTTCAGGCTCAGATGCTGCCCGATTTGAATGTGGACGTGATGACATGTTGCGTTTGTTGTGATTTTTTTTTATGCCCTTTCTTCTTTCTTTCTTATTTTCTATCTATTTCCTTTTTTCCTCACCCGAACTTGTGTAGAATGGTGGGAAGTAGGTACTACCGGCGCAGTGGAAATTTGGGGATTGAGATCCTGGTTTTCAGCTTGTTCGTGAGCTGCTGGGTTGCCTGCTTGTGGTTATTATGATTATAGACGCCACTGTCCACTTGGCTTTGTTAGCGAGATCTGGAACGAGTGTATCGTTACGTTTTGGATGTTCGGATAGTTGGCTGCTGAGAGGGGTTTAGCTTTGTGACACTGGTGGGGAAAGCGAATCTGTCGTGAAAGATACATGTTCTGGTACTTATTTCGTTTATACAGTTGTCAGCTGGCCCTGAAGTGCTGGATTCCGCGTAGTGCGGGGCCAATGTTTTCATTTTTTGCATGTGAAATTATCAGAAGATCCAGTGGTGCACAAGAGTTTCAGGCATGTCGATTCGACCACTTTTTTCCCCTGCGCCTCGAGCTAGATAATTTTGTCCACTCGAGTCCAATAATGGTCTGGAAATGCATTGGAGATTCAGAGGTTTAAGTCAGATACTTGATATGATATTTCTATCCATTCCTCTCTTCGTGTTTCTGAGTGTTTAGGAGTATCGTATAGAATGTGTATAACAGAAACCAAATTGTACCGATTCAGCTAGCATTGCATTGTCTTGGAAGTCAGCACAAGACTTTTCGACACTTTGGATGAAGTAGGCGGTATCGCTTGTATGAGGTTTTCTGAGAAGTCACTAAGATCTAGTTAATGGGAGTATCTACTTGCAGCAGGAAGAAGTGAGTTAGCCCAATGCATTTCGAGTATAATTTTGTTCCTCAAAGCTTCCCTCTTCCAGTGATAGCATTTCTGGATCACGCTGAAAGCTACCTTTTAAAATTGGATATTTTCGGCATATCGTTTTGGTTTTAACCAAGTCTGAGATTGAGAGTGCATCAATCTTAAATATGTGAAGTCCGGCTTTCAGCTAGTGTATTTGCTGTGAAAGTGTACAGTGCACTCGCGTGATCGCTTTTCTTCGAGGCTAGTCTCTTGAAAACTACAGCAAGTTGCTTAATTTACTCACTTACTTCGATTATGCCAGCAATGTCCATCACTGGGGGGGCATGAACACCAAACGCCCTTGCTGCTTCCTCTCGGTAATGCTGTGTCAGTGTGTTTAGTTTTACCCCTCTGCCCTTAGATTACCGTGGTGCATACTTCCCTTCTATTTTCGCTTGAAGGGATGAAGTGTGATTGGTTTTTAATTCATGTATAACTTAATTTTGAGAGAATGTATGTTTTAAATGGATACAGTGACAGCGTAACACATCTGTGAAACTGGGGGAGCAACTGCGCATAGCTTTACATGTGTATTAGAACTCCGAAGAGGTGTGCCATGGCTGATCTGGCTGATTTCGATGCGATGCATTGCGTTCTAAAGCACGCATGTCATTTCTGTGTGCAGAAACTGGTGGCATCGGTGAGCGAAATACGTTGAAGTCCATTCCCTGTGATGCATCTGTAGGTGGTGAGGAGCAGATGCCTGGAGCTTGACATCGTGGTGCAGGTGGGACGAAGGGCGATCAGCGGGGTCGGAAGGCCCCAGGCGAGTTGAAAGAAAGAGGTTTGGGGAGCGTGGGGAGGTCGAAAGATGTCGAAGGCGATGGCCGGGTGGTTTGGGCGCACCCACAGCAAGTCCATGTCCAAGAACATGAACAAGCAAGACGCGCAGACGGCAGAGCAAGGGAACGAGGAGAAGGAGAATGGGAGCGAGAAGGAGGTGAAGTGCCTGACGAAGTGCGAGTCGCTTCCGACGAACTCGAGCAGCGTGGAGTCGGACGACGACGAGTCGCAGGCAGAGCAGGAGGCAGCGTGTGCAGCGTTCAACGAGAAGGAGCTGGGTCCACTGGTGTCGTTGAAAGAGCAGCTGGAGAAGGACAAGGAAGACGAGAGCCTGCGGCGATGGAAGGCGCAGCTGCTGGGGGTGGCAAGCCTGGAGGAGGGGGACGGGTTCGTGGAGCCGGAGGTGAAGGTGGTGTCGCTGGGGGTGATGGCGAAGGGGCGAGCGGACAGCGAGTTTCCGCTGCCGCTGGGGACGAACAGCAGGGGTTACACGTTTTCGCTGAAGGAGGGGTCGACGGTGGCGCTGAAGTACGTGTTTACGGTGCGGAACAACATCGTGTCGGGGCTGACGTGCGTGAACACGGTGTGGAAGGTGGGGCTGCAGGTGGACCAGACGCGGGACATGATGGGGACGTTCGCGCCGCAGCAAGAGGCGTACGTGCACATCGCGGAGGAGGAAGTGACGCCGTGCGGGCCTCTGGCGCGCGGGGCATACACGGCGCGGAAGAAGTTCGTGGACGACGACGGGAGGGTGTACCTGGAGTTGGATTACTCGTTCGAGATTCGGAAGGAGTGGTAGAGTGAGTGAGTGGGTGGGGCGAGGCGATCGGAGGGAGGAGAAGAGCGAGAGGGAGAGGGAGAGGGAGCGGGAGAGGGTCCCATTGTGTGATACGTGAGAGGCAGGGTGGCATGTTGGCAGTCGAACGACGCGAACGAGGGAAAGAACGGATGAGGAGAGTGGAATTGAGCCGAGAGGCGTGACCGAGTCGAGGGAGAGGAGGATGCATGGCGTGTGGGGAGGCGGTGGAATGGAGCAGCAGGGCAAGGGGCGAGGGGTGTGGGGAAGAGGAGGTGTGAAGGAAATGATTTGGAGGAAGGTGTGGAAGGATTGGCGATGGAGAGGGTGTCACGGTGCGTGCAAAAGCTAAGAACGTTGGAACGGACACAGACGGCGAAGTGTGGGTCCCCCCTTGTAATTTACAGCTTGTCCATCTCCTGAGCCTGTAATAGTTATTTGAGGGCATTTATTCTGCAATTTCTTAACGCAAGATGCCCATGCTGTGGGTGTAAGTAAGCGTACGCTATCTTGTTTTGAATCGGACAATGGTGTTGACAACATGTTCAGACACTGTGACAGTTGTTAAGTGTACATTTGGCTTTTTCTTCCACCCTGGGGTAGTTGTCGAGACTGCTTTTTCGTACTTGTTCGTATTTTTCAGTACCTGTACACAACTTTGTGGTTCATGTCTTGTTCTTGAGCATCTGCTCTAGTTTTGTCTTTGTGGAGTCTTTATATCAGTTATCGTATTATTGGCTTGAGATGGAATGGCCTAGAACCTTGGACCTCAATTTTTGTAAGGGTTAAGTCATGGATAAATCATCTGAGAAGATATTAGGTAGAGATTCCTTGTGTTTGGAACGAGAAGGATTGTTAGTAGATCCTGTCCTTTTCAGAATCTGCCGATCGTTGGATAGGATTTTGGTGCATCTGACTCCAAGTCGAATATTCCAAATTTTCTGATCTATACCCATTCTAAGTATCAAGTTTTGATTGGTGACATCGGTGTTAAGCTGAACTTCAATTTTTCCCATTTCATTACTATTTCATACCATCCCAGCTTGCGACAAAAATAATCTCGGTGTAGCATGAAATTCAAAACTCGTTAAAGTTCCATTCTGACTGAAGGGTCGGTGTATCGTCGTCGGCAGTCATGAGCATCTTGTCTCTAATGTGAACGAGATTGAACAGCATTTTGTAATAATATTACATATCTTTCAATATGGAAATCTCGATACAGTACCTTAAATACCGTGAGTGCAGAGTTTGAATTTCGTCTTGTAGCTCTTTGATTGTAACGTGATGATGACGTACCTCCGATCTACCCTAAAATACTTTCGAACTGCTGTTGGCGTATACTAGTTCAGGAAAGAATCGGCTCCGTAGCGGACGAAGTTCCCGCTAACAGACACCGGGCGGAGAATCCATCGCCCGGCGAATGATCGGGAGCAAAGTTCCTTCTTTCGTTCACAATTTCGAACTCCACCACCTCGTGTTCTGGCTTTATGCGCGATGATGCAAAGTTGCAATTGCCAGTATTATTGCGATCAGATGCACATTTGACAGGATTTCTGTAGGTGCGTGTTTGGAAGACACATCAACTGGGAGTGTAGTTTGCTGCCTGAGGATGAAGGCATCCGCGTGTTCTGAAATCATTTTGCGCCAAGAGAACTGAGGTAGTGGCGTAGGAGGTGTTTTGTTAACGTTTTTGCAGTTTTTGTTACTAATAATTTCTGGTCAATCTAGGGCTGGTGCGATAAACTCATGGTCTAGTGACGCTCAGTGAAGGTGGATTGAATTGAGATTCTGTGATGCATACCAGAAATGTGATGGTTGCGAATCCGGTGTTGATTTTAAATGCTTGTCATGGCTTGTAAGGCGAGTAGTAAAGATTGCGATTCCTGTGCAGGTGACTTGTATAATGGCACGATTGCAGCGACAGCTTCTCAGGAGCGTATATTCTTTTTTGAATTTATCATCTGCTGAGTGCTTAGGTGTGGCATGCCGCGGGTTTGCAACGCAGACACCGAAGAGCTTCACATTTAGCACGGGCTTGGTCAGCAAAGAGAGGAATTGCAAAGTCTTAGCGGGATTGGATTTGTTTAAGGTCTATTTTAATGGCAAGTATAGTGCTTCTGGAATTCGAGTATTTTCAGCCGAAAGTGGGGAAGGAGGCGATGGCGAGGAGAAGGTTCATCATTTGACCAAAATTGACGGAGGGAAGAAGTACAGTGTTGTGCAGATTGATACTGATGGTTCCTGGAAGACTGTGTGGCGCAACGCTATGGAACTAGTGAGCCCTCCGCAACCTCTTTCTGGGTGAAATGAGAATTAACGACGAACTCTTTGGACAAGCACAGAAAAGACTTGGCACCTTTGCAAACATTAAATCATGAATCCTGGTACTCAAGTTTGGTTTTTAGGGCTTTTTGTGAGAACGAAAGTTTGATTTATAGGTTATAGAATTTCACACTGTCACTATCTTGTCTACGCTCTCGAGTAGCTTTCAGTTGGTTTTAATAAGATCTAACGTATTTGTCTTCTCACTGAAGATCAATTGACCTGATGAGCACGGTCTATGCTATTTGTTTTTTCATTATCGTTTTGCGCTTGTCGTGTAGGGCATACATCCCCGAGATGTCAGCATTTTGGCAGCTTCAAACCCTTTCATATCGCAGCGGTCCACCATAGCTGTGCAGAATGAGAAGGTGAGGCGAAGATACCAAAGCTATATTTGAGCTTTCTTTAACTGGTTCTCGAGGTTTACGAACTTGGAGCCATTATACAATCACAAACTCATCTTGCTCATCTGTTTTGCAAGAAATATTCAGTTGGCACTCTCATGATTGGTTGGATATCACTTCAATGTTTTTCCAGATCATGGTGCGCATGGAGAACGTGAGGGCTCTGTTGTGCAGGGACCACGTCTTACTTTTCGAAGCTCGGCGCCCACGGTAGATTTTCAGATACACCCGTTTCTTAACTGTCAAAGTCGGGCATACGTCTTGGTTTTTATGCAACACTTTTAGGTTTGAAAAAAATGCAGCAAGTTATATTCTAGAGCATCATGGTAAAGCTCAGTGTCGAACCTATTTGGTTGATAAATTGGTAAGCGTTTTAGCCATTTAGAGTCTTAAACATTTCGACCATCTTGCAGGTCACTCAAGGACCGGGATATTGTGGGCGCAGCTCCTTCAGTTTCTGAAACTCCAGAAAAAGCAGCAGAAAGGTTATACCTAGCCTTTCATCTGAAAATGATGTTCATTCCTGCACCAATTCCTGTCAAATGTAGATTGCAGCATCCTGTGGATGAGGTTGGAAGCCAATATTGAACTGATTTCGACCTGGTATGATATTAATTACTTCGAATATACAGGGCTCGGGAATTGTTTGCAGTTTACATATCGCAACAAGCTCGAGAGCCGATTGAACGACTAGTCGAGGCGATGCCCTTCCATTTGCGAATGCTGGAGTGTTTGCTAGACGACACGAGTATTTTCTTTCACCAAAAAACAGAAAGGTTATTCAATGGCCCCTTGTCCAAATTTGGAGATGGAGTTCACAGCTCACTCTTTGAATTGGACCGCAGTCGGTTCTCTCTATGTTCGGCTTAAGTACACCATACCACTTATCAAAGATGATTGAAGTCGTTATGTGCTGCATTGAAAGGAGGGAGAAGTTGCTTTCATTTGGTAAACCTAGAAAATGCTTTCATTTAGGTGCTTGATGTTACTTCAGATATGTCCTCATTATCATGTTTAGTGCTTCCCAAAACGTAATCATCTTCGACTCCTGTAGCAGCAAGGGAGCCCATAGAGGCTCGATATTGATATACTAAACCTGTGAGTCGGAAACAGTACGATCTCGCTAATAGTAATTGTCATCCCTCAAACCATTTCGGTTAGCTTTTCCTAAAGCTCTTTTTGTAGAGCCAACAAAGCTACCAGCCCTTGTTTTGTCATCGAATTGTTGTGTTAAAATCTAGCTCACATTTTAGGAGCGACTTAAGACAAGTGAATAGCACTTAAGGCCATGTTAATTGAATGCTAATAACTCTAACTCAAACTCATTATTCTTACGTTCCAAGAGATTAGACTAATGCACACTAGCTTTTCAATGAGGGGTACCGTAAACGTGGTGGTCTGCAAGGCTGAAAGTAGTTGTGGAGCGTATGCTTGAAGAACTTACCGATGACGTCAACATGGGCGGGTACCATCTTAACCCAATCCCCTTGTTTCCCTGTTTCTAATTGACATGCAGTCCTATGCGAAGGTGACGTGTGTACTGAAAGCCAATAGTATACTATTCTTCTATTTGCTACCTCTTGCTTTTGTCTACAATTTTATTGCTAAAATCCTGCAGTGCGTGCATGTGGTGACAGATCCGTAGTGATGATCTATGATTTGGATGTTTGATTTACTGTTTCTGGTGTGTTATGGATATTGACATTAGTTACGTATGGTGAATTTTGAATGCCAGCCTCCAACGCTTGTTACCGTTGAAAAGAGCGCTTACAGAAGTTGAGCATGATGTGAGGGACACACATGATGCGATAGAAGAGGTGAGTCCTAACATAACTAGTCCCAGAATTGATTGGTTGTTGGCTATGATGCTTTCATAGGTATTCACTACCTACTTTATGTGAATCCGAGGAATTGAGAAACTCTAGTGAATGTACGTATATCTTGCCTTGGCTGTAGGTGGTAGAAATAGATATGCGCTTTAGAAAGCACCAGGTTGAGATATGTCTCTTAAGAGTAGAGATTGAAGGGTCATAGACATTCATTTAAGGACTACTAGATATGACTCTGTTTGAGTTTATTTAGGTGTTAAGGAGCGATGAGATGTTGGAAGCTGTATGTCTCAATAAAACAGAGTTCCAGTGGTCGTTTGGCAAATACTCCGATTCAGAAAGGTGCAGTACTTATAAGCATTTGATAAACCTGTCTCCCCTTCTGTCTTGTTTCAATCCTAATATCAATGCCGCAACAGTTTGAGGGTTTGTTGTCGAAGGACAGGTCTCGACAAATGTCTTAATTTTTCTCTTCGTGAAATAGGACTAGAGACTCCAAACAACCAACGTTGCGTCAAGCAGCAGCTGACATGCTTCTAACATATCAGCGTCAGGCATGCCTTTCTCATTTATCCTCTTTTTGAATTCCTTTCGCTTTTAGTCAGACACATTCTGGTTTGGATTCTTGTTCTTTCTGTTTATACGTCTAGATTGGGAGTGCCAAATTTATTTAGATCTGTCGTGCACTTTCAAAAAAAATTATTATCGATGTTTTTGTCGATTTGTCTGTGAGCGTAGAAATTCTGATCCAGGCTGTATCTTTCACGTTTGGTTTGTAATTGATTGTACCATATTGAAAACGTCGTGTAGATTGACAATGCCGGTGGTGCCCTGGAGGAGCTCAGGAAAAACATTGATGCTACACAAGAGGTTGGTGAAACTCAAAAACTCTTAGAGAGAAGTACAATTGAAAATACAAGTCTCTCTGGCGTCAGAATTTACTGTAACTAGGTAACTAGGTATTTACTGTAACTAGGAAACTAGGAATTTACTGTAACTAGGTAACTACTGACGTTGAGAATTTCGAGTGGTGGTAACAGATTTGGGAGCTGGGACTGGACACAACTCGAAATCGGATCATTCAAATAGACGTACTCTTTAGCTTGGGAACCGTGTCAATGGGCGTGTAATTCCCTCCCTCTTTCTGATGCAGATGCTCAGAGCATTGTGATTATATTAGTTAGTTATATGTCATTCATTTTTCGACAGATATAGTGGTGAGCATTTTATTAGAAACATTGCTCTGTTACATTCGCTGATGGTTGTAATCCATTATATTGACGTATTCATAACAACTTTGGAACATTGTAGTTCATCAGACATACTGATCCTGCTCCTATGGATGATGCTTGGTTTTCGAATTTATCAGGGCTGCACTTGTAGCAGGATACTTTGGCATGAACATTCCCAAGTAAGTGATCTATTTAAGTATGCCTTGGCTTGGTGGAACTCAAATCGACTTGTGTACACTGGATAGGAAAATCAGGTGTTCCTTCATGAATTCTAGGATATGTAACATTTGTTTGGCAAGTGGACATGATTTGGTTTTCTTTTCATACAGTGGAAAAATTATTCCTCAAAGAATCTCCAAATGGATTGCAGAGGTAGTTTAGCATATGACTGAGGACCCAATTAAACAGTTCCGTGCTAGTTTCGTGTCCAGGTAGTTTTGACTGAATACAAGCGTTCTCTGGTGCAGTAAACTTGAGAATAGTCCAACAGCCTTCTGGTGGGTGGTTGTTGGATCAATGGGCACAACATTTTTACTTGGTGCATTCCTCCTGTATTTAGTCCGAATTCGGCCTCGAGTTATGGACAGGCGACGTGCACGGGTTAGTGAAATATCATTGTACACGTTCATCATGTTTTTACTTCCAAAAATGCATCGTCCGGAGTACTGATGATCGAAGCTCATTCTGCAGGAACTAGCTGCACTACGGGACCTCCTGAAGCATTTGGACGATATTGATGACATCTTTCAAGCTGTTGCGCGTGAAGGTTGAACTTCTGGCTGTAACAAACACATACAATTGATCATGTAATGATTGTTTGAAGTGTGTGAAGGGATCTACGTCCGGTCCTTGTAGCAACTCACGGGCTGTTAATCAGCGGTCTTGATATTTTTCTTGTTTTTGTATTCTATAGGCTTCATTGGCATTACAGTTGCATCTTTTCCAGCGAAGTAAGAATTATTGGTTATTAAAATGGTCCCTTTGCTGAAAGTTAACATTGTTTTGTTGCTACCAGCAGTGGCTGGGAGGGCAGTGACTCCAAATGAATTCAAGAGAATTCTACACTCTCACCCTACTGCAAGATTCATGCGCAAGGTATATCTATGATCCTTGCGTTGTCTTTTGTATATATATATATATATTTAAAAAAGAGTAAATTTACTATCTAAAATTATCCTTTGAATTTATTTTTTTGTATAGCTTTATGTATTAATTTTTTTTAAATTGAAAATGATGTTTGATGTTCTGTCGCATTGTGAGGGTTCAGCAGAATCAGCCTTTTGCTAATTACCTTAATTTCTAGCGTGAATTCCACCATTGATGCTGTCCATTGTGCTTTTTCGTAGGGAGAACTTGATATGATGTTTCGGATGTTTGACACTGACCGTGATGGGGTACTAAAGGTAAACATGTTCTCCCTGTATGCTTTACAAACAGTTTGAGACTTTTGATTAGCATGCCGTGACGATTACACTTTGAGGCACCGGTCTGAGTCGCCTTAGGAAGGAATTTTGAGTGTAAAGGCAAAGATTCAGCTATCACACGTTTGAGAATGCGTTTGAACTGTTCATGAAATACTTTCGTTAGCAATGCATGTGACAAGGTAATTTTATGTATTTCTGAGTCATGGAATGTTTTCTGGGTGGCTTCAGGATGCTGAAATGGAAGGGAAGAAGACAACGAATTAGAGAAAGGGACAGCAAGATGGTGTAACGAAGTTTGTATTATTGGAATCGGCTTAGACCTACTCCTTGGCGGAATCATGTCCCATTTCATAAACTTTTCTCAGTTTCAAGATATGTCGCGGAATCCTCAAATTTCCTCGTTTCTTTGAACAGTATCACCATAGCTGGTTGTTTCCATTGATATTGTATGTTTATCTGCAGAAGCAATACCAATTTAGTTCGAAGTTTCTGGGAGCTTCTTGAAGAAGTTGAGGTCTAGATCAGTTCATCTATCACAATATCGACTTCAGCATGCCTTGTCCCTTTTAAACTGTGATGACCGTGTATTATTTTCTATTACATCATTTTAAGAGCCGTTTCCACGTCGGGCAAAAGGGCGACTCAGTAGCTATGTGGGACAATGTAAGGGGTTTAGGGCTTGAGTCACCTTATTGCTAGAGGTTATTGTAGAAAACCTTAGGCCTTCCAGTTGATGTGTCTCTCCTCTTGTAAAGTACCTCAATTTCCGCCAAAGTTTTTTATAAGATGGAACAGAAGCAAATAATGCTTACGCCATTTACAGTGACTCTGCTCAATGTTATTGACTCTGCTCATATAAAGCTCATCATGTATTTGATCAGCTTGGGTGCAGGACTTTGAGACCATATATTTAAGTACACCATTACGCAACAATTCTAGTTCGGGACAGGAGGTGCAAATGTGTGACACCGAAGTACATGAATCCAAGAGAATGAAACATCCTTGGATGACATCACTGGAACTTGTTCTGGGTACAAATTCTCATCACCAATCTTTGAGCACAAGTCCCAAGTCTTAACAAGTTTTTACAGGTTTGAGTTGGGAGATCTTGTGTCACCAACACCAGGTTGTCCAGAAGAAAAATGCAATCTGCCTCCATAATTGGTGCCATTTTTCTTTGTACTTGCCCTCATCTTCGCATGGAATCCCATGACACCAAGAAGAAGACATCAACCATCAGCTTCACCAACCGTGGAAAGTCTATCAACTAACTCAAGAATTTGTCGACAGATCTTCTGACACCCAGAAGACTATGATGGCGCAGTTCCCTTTCCTTTTTCTGTCAGGGTTTGACTTCTGCAGTTGGGAAGTACTATAAATACACATTTGCATCGTGTAGAAGGGCAGCTTTACATCATGTCCTACATTATTTGTTAATTATATTCACAGAAATTTTAGACTGTGATCAGTGGGAGAAACAAAATAGAATGTTGCAGAAGGATTTGTGGATAATGTATAGTATTCTGTCAAAAAATAAATCAAGATATAACCTACAACCCATTAATTGACCGGAATATCCATGTTACAGGCCGATTTCTTTGAATTTCTTCATATTTCTTCTGTAGGATAAGGTGTGAGGTGGCTCTGAAAAAGGTGCATGATCATCGATTGTCAAATGTATTTAAATGGTTTGAACATAAGATATTGTGATACCCATTTAAAGTGGTTGGAATTCTATTTAACATGGAACGCCTTCTTAAATACAATGTGCGATAAATTTAGGATAAGAGTTTGAAAAAAAAAAAAAAAAAAAAAAAAAAAAAACTATATATTTTGAATTTTTTTGAGTCAATAAAAAATCTAATTTCATAATAATATATTTTTAAAATAATAATAATAATACTAATACCTTTTATTGTACATGCATTTTAATTTGAACTTTTGTAATAGATTCTTAATACTTCAGCACAAAATTATAACATTATTTTTTATCATGCTCAAAATAAGTTCTTAGGATTTAGATTTTTCATTTGGATATCAACAAAGAGTATTAGAGTAAAACTTTTTATCATTCAGAGACCCTATTACTCAATGATTATATATTTTAGTAAAATATAAGAATATAATATTTTTTTGATATGATGTCGTAAAGGTTTTTTACTAATTTGAGTTCAATATTGTTTTTCAACAAAGATGTAGTTTTGTTTATTATTCAAATGTTTTAAAGTTTTGTTGCTTGATAATTATTGCCTATTTCTACATACATAGTTCTTTCTAGGTAAATAAAATCCAAAGTTGCAAATATATTGGCATGCAATAAATTAATTATATTTTCTAAAAACTTAAGAATTTAAATTAATTGATTAGATGAACAAATATTAGTATTAAAAATTAAAATTCTAATGACTAAAGAAAGCTTGTAAACAACTTTGTCTTCTCTCTTCAAATTTAAAATTTAAAAGATAATATTCTTAATATTTATAAAGATTTTAACTCTACTAAAGAAAATAATCTTATTTTATTAAATTAAGAATCATATCTAAAGGCAATAATAAATTTGAAAATATAATCTTTAAAAATTATAGTCAAATGTTTTGTTAAACAATAGGAGATTATCTTTCAAACATTTAATCCAATATATGGCTTTATAAACTTATATTCAGGGATTTCAAACATGGTACTTTTGCAAAACCAAATAATTGGGGTTTAACACTTGATATTTCTAAGATCATTCAAAATATCAAATCCAAAATATCATTACTGAAACTTTATTATCCATGATATTTTGTGAAGTATCACTTAATATTTTGGTGATATTCCAACTAATATCAAGTTGACTTAACATGTCAACTTAATATTCTATGTCCATCATTCTTATTCTTTTTTGTTATTCCTTGTGCCTCTGAAGAAGTTCTCGAGCCTTTCAAACAATGGCAAAGGATGTAATTTCTAAATAAATGAGTAATCCATGATTGTGTGTTGGCTAGAAGACTCAATTTTTTTTTCAAAAGTTGTATGGTTCCAATAAGATAAAGGTATGCGGGAAGCAAACAACCATGATTAAAGCTTTGGCATAGTTGACTGCTTAAGTGAACAAGGCATCAAAAAACAAGTTTAACATTTTTGCAACCAACATGCTATCGCAATTGCATACATTTAAAGCAAATTTTTTCAACATGTATGATTGGTCAATTGATACATGTGCTTGTATTGATGAAAAGGATCAAAAGTGAGATATACACACATTGGCTATAAAGTTGAAAGGCACATATCTACTCTTTGAAAGGATACATGCTTTATACCATACAAAGTCAAATAACTCCTCTTTCTACAAGAATGATTCTACCATGGTAACAAATTCAATTTTGCCAATATTGCCACAAGACTCCATGGTAGTATTGATGACCAATTTACCATTGCCATTGCCTCAATTTGAATTTATTGCTTAAAGAATCACTGCATGAGAATATTTCAGAGGCTTTTCCATTGACAAACCTGTTGAATTAGAAGAGGTGTATAAGGAGGAGCATAATCTCTTACTCTCTTTCATTTGTATGTGATTCTCATACTTATCACTAATATTATCTTTTGTAAGATGTCTATTGCTTGGCAACATTGCCACCATCATTTCAAAAAAGAGAAGTCAACTACTTGTTTCAAAGTCAAAAAGAGAATCTTCAAAAAGGCATTGCATAGTGGCCAATACATTACTAGAGTCATAATAGCTGAAAATCTTGTAATAACAAAGCATTAGGCCTTACCAAAGCATGGTAGTGAGATAGCTAAAGTTTTTTTACAAAAAAAATTGAAAATGAAAGAGAAGTTGGTGAGAGATTAGATGATATTTAAAAAGAAGAAATTAGATGTAGAAAAAAAAAGAAAGAGAGATGATTTGAAAATGTGATAGAGAAGAGAAGTTCTTTGATTTGGTTCAATGTCAATTAATTTCAAAAAAGAGCATGCAAAAAATAGAACATATTATAGCCTTTGTGAAGAAAGCATATGAATAAAAAATCAGTTTGTAACTTAAAATGTGATTTATATATAATATCTTCAATTTTAGGATTTGGATTGTGAATTTGTATTATTATCAATTCTAAAATCTAATGTAATGGCTTAGATTTGATTGTGTAGAGTTTGTATAAAAAGAAGTGATGAAAACAATGTGAGATTTTGTATGCCTTGGGTGCAAGGTTTTGAAAGCCTTGAAAGTGAGATTTTGAAGGCCTCATATTCTAGAGATGACATCATTATGAGCTATTTTGCAAAAAAACAAAACTTTATAATTTTTGTCATATATATTTATTATGCAAGCTACAGCCTTCAAAATTAAAGCAAATTCTAAAGATAATATATTACATTTTTTACAAAATTAATAGGCTTACAAAATTCTAGGAATAATACATTGTATTTCTTATAGAATAGCCAATCTTACAAAAATGATAGTCTTGAAATTTTTTCAACATAGAATCTAAAATTTAGCAAAAAAATAAAATAATCCTATGGTTCTATTATTATATTGACTTACTTGGCTTAAAAAAAGACTCTAATTTTTACAAAGTGTTAAAAAGCTGATATTTTGCTCTACTAAAGTTGGACATTTAAGGAATATAATTTGACCAAGATAAATAAATCTCTAAAATCCAACTACAAAAAACTATATGAAACTTCATTAACCCTTTAAAAAATGAGGTTTTTGATATAGACAACAAATCACATTTCAAAGAAGTGTTGCTACTCTTTGAATCCTCTTGTAATATACATGCCTTTTATTGATGGAAAAATAATATGGTCCCATGAAGAATTTACTCTAATTAAAGACAAAAGAATACATTTCTATGATTTAGCTATTTCTATCTAGGCTAGCAGTTGTATTCACATTTTGTTCCAGTGTTCTCTATTTTTCCATTACTCTTGCTTTGAGCTAGTAAGCCACAATATTGCATGGAATCTAGAAGATAGAAGAAAGTACTTAGGGATAGTATTTCACAAATCCAATGAAGAATGAGAAATAGAAGTTAGATAATGAATGGAATCAATTCTACATATGTTGAAAGATAATCATAAATTAGGTAGTTGCCATTATAATTAAATTAAACAAATAAAATTAAAAATAATATCTCATTAATAATAACTCCTCAACAAAACTTTTGAAGCACTCTAAAATTCTATTTTTGTTAATCAATGTAATACTATTTATAATAAAATAAGGTATTGAATCAAGGGAAGGAGAGGGGAGAAAAAGAGTGAGAGAGGAAAAAAAAGAAAAAAAAAAAAGAAAAAAAAATGTATTGATAAAATCTCTTAAATACCTCATATAAATGACATCTTAATACACTCTCTATTCTGCCTATCCATGGCACTTCTCTCTTATCAAAATCACCTACAATAAATCACTTCTCTTGTAGTATTTATCTCTTGTCTCTTCACACATTAAGTAAGTCAAGTATAGAATATTAGTAAAGAGGTTCTTACTTAATGATATAGATGTGTATGCTATACAAGACATAGTAGCCATATAAAAGGAGCTCAGTTTTATTCACTTATTTTGTAATACATTTTTTTTCAAATTACATATTATTTTGTTGTCTATAACTTTGGAGGCCACAAATACAAGATTTTAGAGGCGTCAATTCTATAATGTATTTCACAATAATATAAAGAAAAAAAAATGCAGTAAGATTCAAAACTTTTATTTTTATTTTTTCTTGCACAATACACAAGGAATATCATGTGTAGACAAACTAAATCTTGAATATTGAAGATGCTATAGAAAATCAAGTCACAATCTTCTAGTTTGAATCATGTATTGATAAAACATCCAATGCATAATTGTATGCCATAACTTTGTATCAAACCATTTTTCTAAAGAGAATTGTCTATTCCAATTTTGTAGCAAAATTCTCTAATAGCTCTTAGCTAGTATCAAT